TAATTTTTGATGCAAAAATTCGAAAAACATTCAACTAATTAACATTTAAGATATAATTTAACCTTATAATGATACTAAGAAGGTTATCAATAGCGTTATTAAATTCTCCTTGGTAGAAAGGGGTGAAATGTATTCTGAAAATTCTTAAAAAAGTCATAACACAACTACAACAATATACATAATACATATGGCTATTGGGCATTGCAAATGTTTTATTATAAAATATAATAATTAAGTTCATAAAATAAGCAACTTGTATTATGCTTATAGTAAATTGTTGTAACAATGCACATCTATTATATGAATTACTATGGGGTGAGGTACCTCCATTTGGTATTTTATTCTGTATGAATCTGTAAAAATTTTACGAACGACTAAAAAGAATATCTTAAAGTCAAATTTATTTATTTCAATATTGCAACAATTAGTTCAATATTTAATTACCAGTTTTTGGAGATTTTAGATATGATACTATAAATATCTCGAAGCATTAAAAATAAAACAAATCTAAGAGCAATGATTTTAAAAATACAGAGTGTGATAATAGGGCATTGATTTTTTTTGAAGTTCAAAGGTTTTAATTGAAAAAAAATCTAAAAAATTCTATTTTTTTAAATTTTAAATTATTTTGAATTCATTTTTTTTCAATTATGAATTTGATCTAAAAATAAGGGCTTTCCAAATGTTGTTCTAAAAACAGCCACGAAACATTTAATGATTTCTAGTGATTTTGTAGCAAAACAGGTATTATAAGAGAATAGGTGGAGCTTGATAAATTTAGCTGGGGAGTTCAAGCCTCAGAAAATATTTATATTTCAGTTAATGTTTTGGTAAAAAACATAAAAAAATATATTTGTATTTTATTATTTTTGAAAAGTTATGATGTTTCAAATTTTTATTTTTATTAAGTTCATGATTTTTAATAATTTTTAAACTTCAAAGAAAAAAAGTGTACAGTCAAATAGCCATAATTATAATAATCAACTATCGAATGTTATTCAATCTTGCTGCATAATTCTAGGTACTTTTATCGTTTTTCGTTAGTAATGGTTTATTGTTGCCAATGTCGAATATCGTGGGTGCAGGAAGGCGATTAGCTCTTGCAGTTTTCGTCACCACCATATATTATTACCTATAACTTAAACTTAAGAAATTGTATCCCATTACCCCTGTGGATTTGAAATTTGTCCCTCACATAACTGAGCTTTATCTATCATTGATCGTTGCATATATATATATATATATAAAGACAATTACTTTATGTATGCGTTAACTTCCTAGCTTCTCATCTATAATAGTGACTGTTAGCACAGTATCTGCTAATTTTAAATTATTTTGTTACTACTAGTAGATTTAATTATTATTGATGATTTATTTATTAACATTGCTGTTTAGATTGTGGTCAAAGGTTTGCAGTTCAACCCATTCCATTGATTCAAAAAGGTTTTATTTCAAAAATTGGATCAGTTCCTTGGAATGCCGGTGTCTATGAAAAAAAAAAAGACAATTATGAATTACTATGTGGAGGGACATTAATTTCCCAAAATTTAATTATTTCCGGTAAACACATTCTTCACTCGTATAGTACCTATCGTAAATTAAAATAACTATATGAATGTTTTTTAGCCGCTACTTGTTTTTCAAGAACCGGATCAGAGCATTATATACCTGTAGAAAACAATTTGTATAAAATTGCTGTTGCGAAATATACGCGCAACATTACGATTAAGGACAATCAATTTACTCAGATTATCGATGTAATTCATTAATATTGTTTAAAAACAGAATAATTTATGCGATATTCATTCTTGTGTTTTAAAACCAAATATATAGGTCAAATCCATTTACCTAGAAGACTATTATTTTGGAACCTCGGGATATTATGCTAATGATATAGCTATTTTAGTGTTGACAAATGACGTTAGTACGAGTCATTTTGTTTTGCCTGCTTGTATCGATTGGACTGCGATAAACCCTATTCCAGATAAATCCAACGGATTGGTAAATTTATTATATAGGTATACCGTAGAGAAGTGCTTTGCACAGTTTGGTTTAATAATTAATGTACAATTACATTAAATAACTGAGTTAATATATTAATGCGTTGGAAAATACACAACGTGACATTCATGTAGATTAACTATTTTATATATATATATTTCTACTTTTGATACAGGCCCCATCAATCCAAATACAATAATAATAATAACATAATATAGTTTAAATAATTATTCTTGTACAATATAGTAATTGTTTAAATTTCGTTCTTGGTAAAGACCTAATAAGGAAATCTTCAATTCGGTTTTCAGTAGAAATGTATAACTTTACTCCACTTGTTCTACTAGTATTTCTAGTTTATTTAACAGTCCTCTTAGTCATATTGTCTCTGAGGTTGTACAGGCAAGCGCCACTAACTTCGCTTCAGTTGATGACAATGTTATGTCAATTTTTATTGAGGCATCGATGAAACCATCGCACTATACATCTTGGAACAATATCCACTATTAGATTTACGTTCAACTATGCATCTACACATCCAATAGCAACTTTATTACTTATAGTGAAGATCAATTTTACTTTAATAGTGTGTTTTATGTACCTTAAATATATCCGAGCATTGTCAGTCACCACTGTTTGAAATCGATTAAAACAGACATACGTCAGCCCCCTTCCCCCATTAGAAATTTTAAAAACTAACGATGCAAATATTTCGCACGTAATTCAAACGCCTATTTTTGGAATTCATACGACACTCCTTCCCCTGGAAAAACGAAAATTCATAGGGAGTTGGCGAGATGCAAAATTAGGCGTGCGAATTCGTGCGAATTACGTGCGAGATATTTGCATAATTTGTTTTTGGATTTTCCAATGGGGAGGGGGCTGGCCAAACATACGTTTAAAACTGCTTACTTTATAACAAAGTTCTGGTATTTATACTCGTGGATGAGCAGTATCTAAGATACATTTGTATTTTATATTTTTTGAAGTTAATTATTGTATTTAGTATCTTGTATCTAGATACCTTTTTTGTAGTGTATCTTGTATCTTTTATTTTCTGTAAAGATTCTAGATACTAGATATAGATCATGCAGGTCATTCATTTATTTTTTCAATTCTTATGTTATTTACTTACAATAATTAAATTTGAAAATTTAATATTTCTTAAAGTAATATGACATCCTCAAAATAACATTCATGTTTTTTTTTATTAATTATTAATAATAGTGTAATATGTATTATGATCTCTTTTAACTACCTTATTTATTTAGTACTCTTCTTAGAACTAAATAAATGGTTATTTGTCATCCAAAAATACCTTAATTACTGAGAGAACTACAGTTCTTCTACCCAAAGTAAAAGAACTACTAATTGGCCTTCTAACGGGTTCTTGGTCTTTTTTTTGGTTACCTAAGAAAGAAAAACACTCCGGTTCCACTGTTTATTCCATCAGCCTGGTCCGGGTCTTAATATTTTGCTTCACTGGTTCGATCCGGTCCTTATGAAACAAATTTACTTACCAATATATCACTGATTACGTACTTACCACATACCTGTACAAATATCCGAAAATAAACATAATACCATACAATTTATAATGTCATAGTTGTGTTTTATAGATCGTTGGATGGGGAAAAACAGAAACTACCGAGAACAGTGTACAATTAATGGAAGCTGCATTACCGTACATTGACCATACTAAATGTCGAAATTTGTACAATAAAATCAATCCAAAATTCAAATCATTTTTGACATCGGATAAATTTTGCGCTGGTTCTGAATCGGGTAATAAAAACTTCTATTTATTTATTTAAAAATATATTATTTAGATTATTTTACATTTTATAATAAAAATAATAATGATTGAACTTTAATATATTTTAAGATTAAATACACTTAAATCCATGAACCTACATTTTACATCTCGTCAAAAATACTCGTATTATTAAATATTTATCAAATTATCAATAATAATTTATTATTCTTTTAAAGCGTTCTTTCTATTTGAAATTTTGTATTTGATTTTGTCTATAATTCTATTCCATCACAAATAAAAAGTATTGATTTTAATCTGAATTTCAGGACAAGGTGCGAATCGAGGAGACGCCGGTTTTGGTTTAACCTTTGAACACGGCGGTTCTCATTATGTAACTGGAATATCAACCATTAAAGATGAATCAAAAAATTCGTACTCTGTGTTTACAAATATTGGTTACCACATAAAATGGATTCAATCAATATTTGACAAAAATGATAATATTCAATGAGTGCCTACATACTGAAAATAATATATATATAAGTACTTGATTACACTAAAGTCAAAACAAATGTACCTATCTACTATAGTTTACTATTATAATCTTTGTAATTAAAGTTAATCTACGTGCACAATACGCTGTTAATATTTATTCAATTTTTTACGGTGTTCATTAATTTGTATGAATTGAAATAAATAATAAATAATATCATTAATATTGTTATTATAATATTACGAATAATCGCACAACCTGATACTACTTATTTAGATACGGCTTGCGGATTGTCTGTTAATATAATAATATGCATAGGTATATTGTTGTTGACCTTGCCTATAGCTATCCATATTTTTAGAGGGGACAGCATAAACAGCAGAACGGCAGAAAGGATAAACAAAATACCTCTTCAAATATATCATACGTATAAATTATTTTTAAAATATTATAAAATCTAAAAAGAAAGAAAAATTGACCCAACAATAATATTTGTACCTTTTTTTCACCGTCTTTGTGGGTACTGAAATATGATAAAAAAAACTATATTATACAAACCTGTATAATATTCTGGTACGATTACCGCTATAATTGAGCTACACTTAAAGTACGTTGGGGGTGGGAGGTGCATGGTGAGAGTTGCCGGGAAGGAAAAATAATGTTATTCGAGAATTATTAAGAATTTTTGCTGACACTTTTTAGCAGTGTTTTCTCGTTACCCGGACCGGTTCCTTGCGTATTGTATTGGTTATAATGTTTCGCGTACTATTCGTAATTATCGTTGCGATTGCAGCTACGTTGCCGGTAATTTACGCAGGTCAGTATAATTTATTTATCTAGTTTAACACGCATTTATAATAGTAGTGGAAAAAATTCGGATTTGTCGAAGTTCTACATTCCAGATTTCAGGAATCCGAAAGAAAACTTCAACTAAAATATAAATATGTATATACACAATAGAAAATCTAAAAGTCAAGTTTTGAATTCTATACATTTTAATTATCGAATTTTGGAATCCAAAATCTGGATTTTGTTGTCTGAAATTGGGAATTCGAATTTTCAAAATTTTTGCTTATCCTTATTCATGTCACATTATCACATTATGACCTTATTTAGGCAAAATAAACTCACCTAGAATACGTACGTTGCTTTACGTCATACAGCGAGTTTAAAGCTAGAAGAGATTCGAAGAAAAACAGACATATTTGTTTATTTAACTACCCGGAAAGTCTACTTCCTAATATTAAAATATAAACAAACACATAATAAACGCATTCGAAGGAACGTTTTTGTTTTTATATCTCAAACGAAGAATCAAATTACAAAACGAATGATGATGAAAATTTTTGCTATGAGTCAAAAAAAAAAAAGGACGGACATACTTCTCACGTGGGTATTTAATATATGTATATCTGTAAGCAACGATAAACCATTGCTAAGGCGATTCATGGAAAACCGGCAACCAAATAAGTCCACGTACGCGGCTGAGAGACCACGCAGATAGATTGCGGGACGGGGTTGGTGACAACGATTTTCGACGCGATCCCGGAATTCGAATCAACAAGGCGATTACAACGAACGTCGACTAAAAGACCGAAATAGTGGAAGAAGTCCGCGCCGACAATACTACTCGAAACGTTGGCAATCTCGAAGGTCCAGTTAAACAGCCTTGAAAATTCTAAAGCGAGTTGGAAAAGCCTTCGGCCGTAAGTGCGAATATGGGTGCCATTAGCGACAGTAAGGATCACGTTCGAAAAAGGTATCCCGCGGATGGCGGGATAACCGAAATTTCGGTCGCAGAGTCGATCAGGAACCGCCGACCAAAGCGCGTGCTCGACACGAAAACGCGGTGACTTTTTGATGGGCGACGGTGGATAGGTTAGCCTCAGCCGCTCGCGCTAGTTTCCCTACATATAAACCGTCTGCATTTGCTAGCTGACGCACAGAAACAGCCGTGATAGAAACAAAAACTATTATTGTTGCGTGGACGAGATCTCGAGCGACCGCATTTGCGTCCAAAAGATCGGTTCACGGAATTTACCGTGGTCAAACTGGCGATCTACGTCGTGAGCGCTGAAATGTCTCGTTCTTAACCGCGTGTAATCGGTCGGATGACGAACTTCATGCGGTGACAGAATGTGTGTCGTTGAGGGAGCTCGCTTCCATGACGTGGTCGGGTCGCTCCGCCAGCATTTTGAGTGGGCCTTCTTGCCCGGATATAATCGCACTGGTCGTCGATGGAAACTTTTGGAGCCAGAATTGTCTGATAGGTTAGGTTTTCTTAATCAATGGAAAAACCGGAAAAAAACATGGGAAAACCGGGAAAAACATAGAAAAACGGGAAAATAGGTACGATATTAAACAAATATTATTAAAAAAAATATATAATGCATATGTAATTATTTTACTATAATATGACATATATTATATTGTTGACAAAGCAACAATATCAACCAAAGTGTGCTAAAAATTGTATATCGAAATGGTTTATCGTTGCTTGCAGCTATACATTAAATTACTTATAACAGTGGCTGTACCCTTTTTCATTATCCTAGGACAACTGTTTTAGATTCCGAGCGTAGCGAGGGGGCTATTGGTTTTATTTAGATGTTTATTATTACTTTTCTTTATAATTTGGTCTAGTCTGCGGACACGTTTTTTTCTAGTAAACTTGCTCCTATTTTTACGTGTTTTTTTCAAGAATAAAACACGTTACACCTTTTCTGAAAGCTCAAGTTATCTAGAGATATTTTGATTTACGACGCTATTTTTCAAATAAAAGCACTTAAGTGGGAAAAACGTAGAAAACGTACAATTTCACGATTTTCACTATTTTATAAAAACACGGACGACGTTTTCTACCAGAAAAAATGATTTAATCGAAAAATTACAAAACATCTTTTTTGTTTTCTTTTTGATTTAATTTTTTACGGTATCATTGCCAAAACTTTTGAGACACTATTGAGCTTTTAAGGAATTTTAATTTTTGGGAGTTTTTTTCTGTCATTTGGTTATAAATAAACGCAGAGACCTGAAACTTGGTAATAATACTTATATTAGACTTACTTTAAACATGGTCAAATTTCCAAATTCATCGGACAACTTTTTTTCTTTTTTTAAATTTTTTCACAGTGGTACATTATTTTTTTATATTATAGACCTCTTTTATCCTAGAAAACTTGCTGCGATGTATTAGTATAGCACCTTTTCTGAAATTAAATTTTATATACTTGGTAAATACATAAATCATTTATAGATTTTCGCTACGGTATTTAAAATAAAAACGATTAACCGAGAAAAAAAATAATTTGATTTCGTTATTTTAAATAAGTACCTTCCAGGTTTTCTAGCACAAATATGACTCCAATTGAAAATTGACAAAAGACCTTTTTTGTTGAATTATTAATTTTATTTTTAATGGCGCAGTTTGTTTTTTTTTTTGATTTTTAAATTAGTTTTCATAATAATTGGAAAAAAACGTAGAAAAAATATACAATTTCATGATATCATTATTTTATATTAATATGGAAAACGTTTATTATTAGAAAAAGTGCTTTAATCGAAAAATAACAAGAAACCTTTTTTGATTCATTGCACATCTTGTTTCTCATGGCGTAAGTTGTTTTTTGATTACATAATGATTCGAAAAGATCAGAAGAAGACGAAGTTGTTGTAATTCAGTTAAAAATATTTGTAGTGAATTAAAAAATGGACAGAATGTTCATATTTCATTGTTTAAATTGCACCAGTGTATTCTGCATATCAAAAAATTAACAAAATGTTGATAATTTCAGCGATAATTGCCGGCAATTAATAATCAGGGAAATTTTTTGTCAGCTTAATGATTATACTGTTGTTGATAAAAATGATAACAGTACTTATTTAAATAGTAAAGTTGTGTTTCGGCAATTAAGTAAAAAATTACGGCACTTCAAATTTTGTATTACCGAATTGCCCTCGGAATCATCTTTCGTCAGCAATGGTTTATCGTTGTTTATAGATATACATTAAATAATTTTATGTATTTTATCTTCCCAACTTCTCACCTACAACAGTGGTCGCTTCCATCACCAGTGTCAGCTATTTTTTTATAGAGTCGTTCTCTTGTTATTAAATGGGACAAGGCGTATAATACAGAGTAGAGTGGGTTAGACGAAGATTTCTAAGTCCACAATATATATTAATTGAATTGAATTACCTAGTAAATTTAAATAATTCAACCAAATATTATATGATATTACTTTATGTATTTGTAATTATTATTAAAAAGAAACGTAAATTAATAAATATTAAAGAATCCCCCCCCCCTTAATCAGGACCTACAAAATCTTCTTTATTTTGGTTAAAGTGATAGCTAATTGATCAATGATATAATATCATAATATGGTATTTCCATATAACTTTCAAATAAAATCAACATAAACGTTTTATAGTATTCGCTTTATTTTTCATCAGACACCGATGATGTTAATCAAGTTTTAATTTTGTACATAATTAAAAATATTCTTTCATAGGTTACTTTCATGAATACTAAAGTAACTATCAGCTTATATGTGGCGTAATAACTCATTATAATCAGATGTATGGGTCACTTTTGTGTTTAAAAATTCGAATGTACATGAAATGCACGATTTACATTTCATCCTAACTACTACACATTTTAGTTTTTTTCTGTAACTTCGTTATTATTTTATCTTCAAATGTATTTTTATAACTCAATTTAATACATGACTAAAGAAATGAGTATGCATAGATTATGGAGCATCTTTCTCTATAAGATTTTGTAATCCACGATAGATTATACTTAGATTAACTGCTCCAATATAAGCTTGACTGATAATATCAGTCAAAAGCAAACCTATATCTATAGGAGCATTTTTTATAGTTGTGTATAAATGAAATGCTTTCGAAAGGTCTTCTTATAATCAAGCGTTCTTTAATCTCACATCCAATCACATACCAAATGCAAATGGCTAGTTAGTCTTTTATACTTACGTTTTGAGATAAATCTAGCTTCTCGTGTTTTTTTTTCTGTGTTATATTTAGAATTTTTAATTGAACCTCTTTTTAATTTTTACCCTTACTTCATATACCAACATAACATAGAACAGTCGTTTAAATTCCAGTTGTGAGCCACAGTATACAAATTTAAATCTAAAAATCCGGATTCGATATGTTGTCAGACTACCCGGGGGCCAGGCTCGGGCACCTTACGGGGGCTCAGATTTGATAGTTTCTTTATATTTGTCCATTAGAATTATATTATGTCTAATATGTCAAACTCCAACAGAATACAAATTAATGGACTATATAGTGATTAAAATCTGTTTTAGATTGTGGTCATTTATTCTTTCCGGAAAACAGAAATTACGGGAAAGTGAACTACAAATATAGTACAACGCCTTGGAATGCTGGAGTTTATAGAAAAGACGAATCCAACAAATATGATATGATATGCTGTGGATCATTGATTTCGCCAAAATTGGTTGTTACATGTGAGTAAAATAGTTATTACTGTGCGCAGTTTACGCTGTATATTTTTGAATATTTAAATGCGGAAGTATAATATATTTATATTTTCGTAATAGCTGCTCAATTTTTTTGGGAGAAAGGTTTACCAAACAAAATAATAAGAGACGGAACCCAATATTATAAGATTGCTGTTGGGAAATATAAAAGAGATTATTCAGTAATGGATAACGAATTTACTCAGATCATTGATGTAAGCAATAATCTGATAGGTATTATTAAAAAAAAAAATTACAACAAACCCATATCACCATTAAAATATAATACATTTAATATACAAATAGGTTAAATTGATTTATCTGCAAGACAATTTTGAAGCAAAATTCCGATATTATGCTGATGATATAGCTGTTATTGTATTAGAAAATGACGTTATTGTGTCTGATGCTGTCATGCCTGTTTGTATTGATTGGACTGAGAAATATACTATTCCAAGTGGAACCATAGGAAAGGTACAAGTAGTATTTTTAATTTGACTTAAAATCTAAATGTCATCAATTTTGAAATAAATTATCAGTGGCACGCTTAGTTTTTCTTCCTGGTTTGTAGATTTTAGGGTATTTTTAGTAAGTGTGGGTCAAAAATTAAATCAGTCATTCAAAGTAAAAATACTTCACATTGCCTCTGTGAATTACTTACCAATACCATTTCCCTTTTATATTTAAATTGATTTACGTATACATTACTACATTACTAGTCACTTTTATTGATTTAATAATTTCATACAATTTTTCATTTTAGTTATCTATCTATACTTACTACTCATAGTTAACTATGCTAAGTATTTTTACTAAAATATTTACATGCTTTTAACCTTATCATAATTTAAAGTTAAAATAACAGCATTATTTTGTTTTATTTCATTAGAAATTTTAATAATAAATTTTGACGAAAATCGTTTAAGTAAAGAATTATGTGAAACAAATATAATTTTTAAATTTTTTTTTTTATTTTGAACACATGTACATATATTGCAGATTTAAAAACGATGACGAAATCAGAATTGAGCGGACTAACTTAGTTTCGAAATTATAGCTTTTTGAAATTCTGATTTCATGTTATGTTAAATAATTCTATATTGTTTAATCTTTCATATGTTTGTCATAGCCGAATGATTATACACGTATTTTTTCATCCTAGGGGTCACGAGTTCAAAACCGAGTTTTGAAACAAATTTACTGAAATAAGGAAAAAACAAATGCATTTTAGGTGTACCCAGAATCTCACGTCATCGCTCGCTCGAACTATTTTAATCGAAAAATATCCCTTGATTTGTTGTGCAAACTTTTCTACCAGCTATTTTGTTCTGATTTTAAATGATGGCACTTTTTCTAACTGAGAAGGTCATTTTTCAATTTTCTCAGGAGTTTTCTCAAAAAATGTGAAAAATTGGAAAAAACACGGAGAAACCGGTATAAAAACAGAAAAAACGGGAAAATTGTTACAATATTAAACAAATATTATTAAAGAAAATATATAATGTCTATTTAATTATTTTATCATAATATGAAGTATATATTGTTGACAAAGTATCACTATCAACTAAATTTTGCTCAGAATCGTTTTTTCGTAAGCAATGGTTTATCGTTGCTTAAGGATATACATTAAATTACCTATAACAGTGGCTGAAAAAATTAATCATTTCATACAGATATACATTAAATTCTCGTCTGTATCCTACTTTTCCAACTTCACGCCTATATCAGTTGCTGCACCCGTCCTCATTATCTTAACTTCCTTTTTATTTATAATAGCTACAAAAGGTTGATCGTATATAATTTTTTCTCATACCTAATTTCGTAGGCAATTAAATTTTGTATAAAATGTATTAAAAATGTTCCATCCGATTTTCAATCGTTTATCAAATATATTTGAATAACCATAAAAAACCAGTTTTTCCGAATAAACGAAATATATAATGTTTTATTTTTTTCTTGGATAATAATGATTTTATCGAAAAATTTGTAAAAGATTGTTTATAGACAATTTAAAGATCTATCATAAGTACGATGAACAGTTTTACGATAAATGCAATAGTTTTTAACTTAAACTCAAAAAAACATAAAACTACGCAATTTAGTAATTTTTTAACTCCCTTGCGGCACGTGAAGGGGGAGAGTTATCAAAACCAAATTCTAATTAAATTTTTTTTCATACTAACGAAAAAAAATGGTGGGGTAACCCATTGAAATTTTAAAAGTTCATAAATAAGAACCACCCTAGTGCGCATGGATATAAATAAAATCACTGTGTATAGTACAATTATATACCTCTCCGACTTTTGGTTATTTATTTACTTTTGTGTATTTTATCATTCTCAAAAAATAATAGACAATTTTACAAATTATTATTGCCGTCTTTCACCATTTTTTTGGCCACGGCATTTCTAAGAATAATTAGTAAACAGACCATTAGTTTCAATTATAAATGCATTATTCTATAAGCGGTTTAGTACAACAATTATCTTAATAAGTCGACTTTTTTTCGTATATTGAATGTGAATGAATTTCGGTAATTGACCCTTAATAACAGCAAATAAAAGCAGAATTATTTATTATATATTAAATATATAGATGTATAATTATAATATGTATCTTGTATATAGATTTAAAATTTATTTTATTTCCTTTGTACATACCTATATACCTATCCACCTTCTGACCTACTCGTATAATATATTTTTTTATTCATAATTAACTCAATCGTGTTATAGATTGTTGGTTGGGGACTGACAGAAAAACTGAAACCAAGTCCAGTTTTATTAGAACGAACATTACCATATATTGATCGCTTAAATTGTCACCACTTAATTACTGGCAATAATCAACTTCAAGCATACGTGCCCAGTGATAAATTCTGCGGTCTAAAAGGTAATACTTAGGATTTGTACCAACATACTAGAATTAATAGCCACATATTAGTTTTCTGAGTCCAAATGGATATACAGGAAGGTACATTGGATACCCAATAGGATAATATTTTGATTACTGTGGTGATACCCTCAGGACATGGGAGGTAAGGTAGATGAGGAAAGTCTAAAAGTTAAAGGGAATATTTGGTCTACTCATGGAGTTTTTTAAGGGATACAGATTCTAATATATAACAATATTACAGGGATATTTTTCTTAAGGGCATATTTTGAAAATTTATATAAAATTACATTCCCAGTCCTATTCATAAATATAGGTGTGCCAGTTTTGGTAATGGCCGGCATAGTAGTCACAAACGGTTAAGAGGCTTTACCTGCCAAATATATCGCATTCTCAATGCACCACCTAGATCCAAAATTTAACAAAACCTGTCTCGTAGTCTCGTTGATTTGAGCAAGATTTCTAGTAAAAAAATTGTTCATAGATAGACAAAAACGGACACATCATAATAGAACCTATATATTCTCCACTCCACTTAAAAGCTAAAAAAACCAAGTGTGATAACTATGTATTTTCAAAACTGAATTTAAACCTTAAATTAGGTAAGCATGTTTTTATGCATTGGCTTTTGTTTTGTTGTTTTCTATTAAGTACTTATAGGAAACATGTATCAATTTCTCTTTTTTTCAGCAATAATTTTTGATAGCCGGAGGGGGGGGGAACACATTTTATTTTGTTTTCCCATAGGTGAAAAAATGCAGCAATGGGAATATTCTATAACAATTACATAAATTATTGGTAAAAAAAAAATCCATTTGCATGGTTTAGAAATCATTTATTATTTATATACGTAGTAATTTTCGTTGCAAATAATAAATTGTAAAGATAATTAAAATTCTAGGGCCAGGATTCCGCGGAGGAGAAGCCGGCTTTGGTGGTGCTGGATTGACGTTTGCACAGGCCGATATTTATTATTTAGCCGGAATAATGAGCATCAAGATTAATGAAACTGTTGAAATATTAACGGATGTTAGTAAACATATTCCATGGCTTCGCAATATCTATTCCCAATATTATCAAACCGGTAAATGACAATAACTTATAAGTTAATGTGGTTGTGTGAACAATATAATAATATAAGTTTTGTTCAAATTTTTTCATAAATTAAACTGACCTGTGTGATATTAGAAGAGTAAGCAATTTCTGTATAATATTCTAGACTTGTTTGGGGTTATAAACTTGTAGATTTAAAAATATAATTTCAATTTTCTAAACATTTGAAATTAATAATATTATCACTGGTATATTTACAGAGAGGGGTTAGAGTATGTCCAATCCACCACTCCCTCCCACTAAAAATACACAACTTCTATAATAATGATATGTTTGGTATGATTGATTTAGGTAGTCCTGGCCGTATAAATTGTGTTAATGTACGCTCCTTAAAAAAAATCGAGTCGTGAACACGCCTGAATATCATATTCAAGGGTTAATTTTCTTTCTAAATGTATTTTGTATTACTGGAAAACAGTATACGAGATATAGGGTGTTTTTTTTTACTTTGTATACAAGGTTATTTCAAACACTAATGATTATTTATTCTATAATTTAGTATTATAAACTGTTAATATATATGTTTTATATTTTTTTTTCTAGGTTGTGGCCGATTATTTACTCCAAAAAATAAAAACAGAGACTATCATGGTGTGGAAGTAAAATTTAGCACGGCACCCTGGAATGTTGGTGTTTATATAAGAGATGCGTCTAACAAATATGTTATGATATGCGGAGGAACATTGGTTGCTCCGAATTTGGTTATTTCTGGTAAAATACCTAATTATTGCATAGATACTAAAGGAAATGTATTATGAAATGCAAATATGTTTATGTATTTATAGCTGCTCAATTTTTTTGGGAAAAGGAATCGTCAAACAAAATAATAAGAGACACTCAAAATTATAAAATTGCTGTTGGGAAGTATAAAAGAAATTATTCAATAATGGACAACGAATTTACTCAGATCATTAATGTAAATACTTACATAATAAATTGTAAAATATCATCTCGATAAATCCACATCATAATTAATAAATATTTATTCCGACTATGTAATATTATGTTTACAGGTGGAATTAATCTATCTCGAAGAGAATTATGACGGGCAATTTCGGTATTACGCAAACGATATAGCTATTATCAAGTTAAAAAACAACGTTATTTTATCTGATGCTGTTATGCCTGTTTGTATTGATTGGACCGGGAAACGTACAATTCCGAATGGAACTAAAGGAAAGGTATTTATTTAAACAAATTCGATTACATCATTTATCATTTTAATATGAATTAATCATCATTCTCATTTTTTTATGTATAAGCTATGAAATTAATTTTTTGAAACATATGTGATTTGATATACGATTCTGAGTACAGCGAAGAATTTGTTGATTCTACTAGAATGTGTTACTTTAGATTTTATTATGATCTAATGTATTATTTTTGTTTCCGGTTCGTTAACAACTTTTATACCGGAAGTTTTACTTCAATCAAAAATAACAAGAGACCTTTTTGATATATTTTAGATCAAGTTGGTGCATTAAAACAGTCATTTATATTCGTTGTAGTTTTCCTAATAATTGGGAAAAACCGGAAAACTTATGCACAGTGCTAGTATTTTGATTTTCTTTTTTTGTAATTCGGTTGAATAATCGTAGAGATTTGACATTTGCACAGAATACTTATACAAGTATTTTAGCCTTTTATCAATGTCGTAAAATATCCAAAAAAAAAACCTTTGTCAACTACGTATAAAAACTTTTCTAAGAAAAAAAAACTCAAGTTAGAAAAGTTGTAATATCAAAAAGGTGCTAAGTAATTACTTAAATTCATTAGTATAGAAATTGTTTATAATTGTTTATACAAAAATTTTTTTTTTTTTTTTCATAAATCGTTTTTCGTTAGTTAAAAACATCCATCAGCAGTTTCAGCTCGTTTTTTTTTTCAATTATAAATTATATATTGTACATACTACTGAAATGCTAATTATTTTAACTTTTATACTCCAAAAAAAAAAAGTTAAAAAATAATTTATGTTTTATTTTACAGTGGCCAATAGTATTTTAAAATCTAAATAAAAAATTCACCATTCAACCACTTAAATTTTTGTGTAGGTATCAATATACAATATTTGTAATATTGAACATTATTTATCATAAAGTATTGATTTTAACGGTTTAATTTTTTTTTCTAAAAATTGTTTATTGTTATTAGTCATTTAATGAAAAATTGATTTTGTTGTTATTAAGAATTATGAGTATTAATTCGGTTTACATATGAAATAGATTTAAAATTCAAAGAATCGGGGTTTGTGACCCTAAATAACTAGAAAGACAAGCAGAATAAAGAACAGATATTGAAAATACCTACTAGAGTATACGTATATATTATATTTTTTGAATATAATAAACTTGACTTTTTATAGATTGTTGGTTGGGGAATGGACAATTTGGTACCAAGTCCGGTTTTATTAGAGTTATCATTACCATATACCGACCGCACTTCATGTCACAATTTAAATAAAGCTAATACTAAACTTCAGAAATACGTGCCCAGTGATAAATTCTGCGGCATCATAGGTAATAATTGAATAAGTTACTAACCTATAATTAATAACCTTTTCTTTTTTATCGTAATAAATTATTTTGTAAAATATAATTTGTTAAAAAATGCGTTTCTCATTCATATTATTCTCGTGTTGAACTTAATGAATAATTTAAAAAACTTAATAAAATCCATTTTTGTGATCTAAAAACTTCGTTGATGTAAAACGATGATAATAAAAAGTAAGTTCCAAATTTCGAAGAGAAACTGGTTTTGGTGGTGTAGTTATAACTTCTAAATATCAGGATGGTTTTTAATAAATATTTTTTTTACTTTGTTGTTAGATCTAATTTTTTTATGTAATTATTCATGTGCCTGTTCGTTTTTGTTCGGAAATATAAATGCCTATGTTGATAACACTATTCCTAAAATATGTATGTAGTAATTTGTATCATAATAAAACGTAATCATATGATTAAAATTCTAGGACCGGAATTCCGTGGAGGGGAAGCCGGCTTTGGTGGCGCAGGATTAACATTTGAAAATGAGAATGGTTTATATTTTTTAGTCGGAGTAGTGAGTATTACGTATAATCATTCGATTGAAATATTAACAGATGTTAATAAACATATTCCATGGATTCATAACATTTATTCCGAATATGGTGCAAACGGTAAATGATTATGTTATTTGATTTTTTCATATTTGCTTGTTTTTGTAACATTTGTTTATGTTTCTAGGAATATTAAACAATAAAATATCAACTGGACAACTTGAAAGTCTAGGTAAGTAAATAAAGTAGTTGTAATTTTCCTAATAACAATTGTAGTCATTATATTTAACTGTGTAAAAAGGTTTTCTAATGTTTTCAGTAAGTTCATTATTAATTTGTTTTACACTTGATTGTTGCCATCTTGCAATGCAAATCAAATAGTTTGATACAAACTTATTGGTATTATTACTATGTTTTACATTTTGGTAGGCACACAAACACAATATTATAATAATAATACCGTTAGGTTTAAAAATTTTTATTTTCCAATATGTAATATGCTTGTACTTGTATAATATAATGTAAAATCGATATCACATGACTATACTGCACCAAAGTAATTATATAATATAGGTTTTTTATATTTTTAGGAAGTACATCATCTAATTCCTTTAAAACCACAACTTCTGCACCAGTTCCGATCGAATCGCTTACCCAGTAAGACTTAACAATGATTTAATATATTAAATAAGCCACGCTGACCTATTATAAATAAATTAGTTTTCCATATTGAGTGACTATTTATAAAGTTATACAATAAATTGGTTGTGTGATAAAAATTTAATTATTCAACTTCTTCTATATTTATAGAAGAATTTATAATAATTTTAAATTGCTGATGGTAAACTAAGTTTTTCAACGATTATGAGTTTTTTTATATCTAACAATATAGAATACTACTTTATTAGAAGCTATAAAAGAGCTTTGGTTGGAATACTTGTCTGTTTGATAAAACTAATTGATTGTTTTTTTAATTGTTCAAGTTGCCAAAATAATCACGTTTTTATTAATCAATGTGCTATGGTTAGTTACGAAATGGCGTATTAATTTATTTGGAATCATACTATCGGCAGCTATAGTGGCGTAGCCAAGATTTCTTTTAGGGAGGTTGCTTTTATTTTGTGTTTAGATGTAACTTTGTAACATTGTTGTGGACATGCAATACATATTACATAAACTGAATCTGTCATATACTGAATTATCTATGAGTAACACAACACATCTTATAGAAATCTGATGCATAACTGCATATTGTATACATTATAATTTTGGACATAAATATAGTCAAAGGGGGATGTTTGAATACCAAAACATTCCCCTCGCTACGCCACTAGGCAGCTAATACTTTTAAATAAATATTAGCATTCTTTATAGTCTATTTTTATTTTTTATGTAAGTAAAACCAAAATCTAAACTATTACCGTGGTTTCTTAACTTATATTTATTTTCTTCTTTATGATGTCTTCATTTGGACGTTTGGATCTAATATTGAGAAAATGTTCCATTTTAGATAAGAGTTAATATAAAATACAAGTGAATAATTCATACTTCAATAATAAACACACCTTATGTACAACTAATTCACGACTACTACTAAACTACAATTGCCATTGTAGGATAAAATATATATTAAGTATTGAATAATAATTGTAATATATTGGTCAATATAGTACGAGAATATTCGGGCGATGTGATAACGATGGGTTTTCATCAGATAAACGTTTCAATGAAATTATTGTTGATCTAAAAATATCAATGTTTACCTCACGCCTTCCTTGCTAAGTGTTTGTGCCTCCCAAGAGATATGTGCCTCACAATTTGGAAATCACCGGTATAGGTATTGTAATTTTTATTGACAAAAATACAATGCACATTTTATAGTTTTGAGTTCTTATGAGTTCTATCTATACTATGATCTGTTATCTTCTTATCTATCAATTTGCCACAGCCCGCAGCAGAGAGTATCGCATAAAAAAATGATTTTATTTTATGGCGATATTGCGGGGTGGGAGGAACCAGTAGTTTCTGTGGTCGAAGAACTGTAATACGGGGACTAAGTTTTTAATTTTTCTTATTTTTAGTTTGCTTATTAGTTAGTAACCTTGTTTCAAGAACATAAAAATTATGTGATTTTTTTATTAACCTAAGTGGGTACTATAATAAATGCTTTAACCTACCTGTAAAAATTGACTTTGGTGCCACCTAGTTTACCCCTACAAAATCAGCTTTTTTATGTTTATTATTTTATTCTATAGAAAACAGGTTTTTCTTACTGTTATTGTTATATTAGTATTTATTTTATTGTTATAGAAACATTTAATTAATATTACTGGATTTTATCAGGGTTACATGTACGATACCATTTGTGAATGGCAGTATATATTCCCTTATTAGCGATAATTCAAATCAAAATAAAGTTTTACTTCCCGGAACGTTAGTTTCCCTTGACAGTAAAGTTGAAGAAACCTGTGAAAAAGGATATCATAAAGTTCAAACAAAGAGAAATTTGATAAAATGTGAAGAAAGTGGAGAATGGTTTCCATCAATAACCGAAAGTGAACCATTGTGCATAAGTAAGTATTGTGCTGTATATAAACAGTTGTACACTATATCATATCAATCATTTTAGTCATACATAATATGACAGTTTTATTATAAACAGTTGCTATTGTTAGATAAAAGTCGTTTGTTTGTTCATATATAGAAAAATGCCGCCCTATGGAATCGGATAGCTTGGATCTTAAATGTACGTATAATGGTCTTGATGTCGATTGTGCAGATCCTGCAATATATAGAACGATACTACAACCAAAATGTAAAGTTACACATGGTATAAAAAACGGACAACTTGAAGTACCCGTTAAATTAGTTTGCCGTGAGAATGGGGAGTGGTCAGGTCACCTGTATGAATGTATACCAAGTAATTCTATTTCAAATTTGTTTTAATATTTATAATGAAAACATATAAATTTTAAATATTTATACGAGTTAAAAGAGCTGAACAAAAAACTTTCATTCTTATAGGTTCCGGGTAAAAATTAACTACCTATAATATGAACTGTGACCTCATATTGTATTAAACTATTTTCCAAATTTTGATTTTCCTATTTGTGCTAACCATCCCTATTTGGTAATAATATGAAGTATTTCCATTCTCATAGGTAAATGTATTTGTATCTTGTCCTTCTGCCATCCTAATAAGTGATTATTAAGGGGCCTTTACACGTCATTTGATTTCTCTAGCAGTCTCACGCGTAATATAACAATAAATACATTTCACACTTCAAAGATTCTCTGGTTGAGTTTAGGGGAAATAATTAAATATACATTTTATAAAGATAAGTATTTATAATGCCTTAGACTAATGATTTTTAATTTTTTTATTTGGTAGGTTCCTGTTATTAAAATTATATGACGGTATGACTAAAGACTGGAGTAAAGTAGTAGACAAGAGAGATTTTTAAAACGACTATATTTTTAATAAATATGCGATAAGAAGTGTATTACTGACCAATATTTTATATGATTACAATATTAATATAATACAGGATAATATTTTACAACTATTAGTGAGCTGGTCTAGTTCAATATACTTATTATATTTTATTAACTATTACGAGTTTTAATTTTTAAAACAGATCCCTTCCTTCCTCTAGTAAACAATAGAGGGATTTTGTCGAAAATTGTAAAAAATATGGTATTTTAAAATATGTCTTACAGAATTTCTCTCTGAATGGTATTTCATTAGCAATGGTTTATCGTTGGTCACAAATATAAATTAACTTTATGTATCCGAACTTCCCACCTAAAACAGTGGTTGCATCTCCAATATCAGCTCTTTTTTAAAAAATATATTATAAGCAACTTAATTTCAAATTTTGAAGAAAACCGTAAATTAGTAAAAATCGTAAAAAAACTTAAAAAAACTCGAGATTCTCCATACACTGTAATATTGGTATTAAAAATAAATGTTGAACGTAATATTGTAGTTTTTTTATAATTAGATGTATACCAATCACCTCTTTTTTTTATATACTTAGCAAAGCCCTGTCGGATTTGTATATTATAATTAGAGCTGTAGTGGAAGGTATACGGCGGTATACGTCGTATACCTTCTGATTATTACCTATAAACATTGTATATCTTCTGGTTATGGTCGTATACACTCTGTTATAGTGAAATCACGAAACATAATATATAATTATATATATATATATATATATATATATATATAGGTATTATTATTTTCATTTTTGATTGATTACGAAAACATGAAAAAAAAGAATGTATACATATCCATGAGACGACAATGTATTATAGATTAGTATATTAATATATTATAGTATACTATCTGCTTATTTTACGATATAGCACCGATTAGAATATAATATATACCTTCGTACTACTATGTAAATTAAGTTTTGAAATATTAATTTGTAATTATGTATAGAATGTGGTAGAACAAATGCTCAAATAACAACTCTAATAGCCGGTGGTCAAAAAGTAAAATATGGAACGGCTCCTTGGAATGCTGCTTTATATCATAAAGAAAATAACACATATTATGATTTAATATGCGGAGGAACAATTATAGATCCAAATTTAGTCATTTCTGGTAAAATCAATTAAATAACCGATAGTAATAATAACAATAATACACGCTTAATAACAAAATAAATGTAACTACAGCGGCTCATTGTTTTTGGAATTCGGATATCGGAAAATTAGCAGACCGGTCGAACTACAGTAATTATCAAATTGGTGTGAGCAAATATGAACGAAATTATTTTAAAAGGGACAACGAATTCACTCAAATTTTAGAAGTAAATATTTATTACATAATTGGTTGAAAAGTAGAATATTAATTAAAGTACGTTACTATTAAATTATGTATTCAACAATAATAATAATAACCAATAGATTCGTGACATACATGTACCAAAAAATTATCAGGGGCAAGCTGGATTTCACGAAAACGATATAGCTATCATCGTGTTATCAAAACCTATTAAGATAAGCAATCAAGTTTTGCCTGCTTGTATGGATTGGAATAACAAATTTTCTATTATTAAAGACGGAACCCTCGGAAAGGTAATTGATTCGCATGTATGTTAATTACAATAAAAATAAAAACAAAGTTTAAAAAACTAAAATCCCCCTATGAAAAATGAAGATGCTTGATTACCGCCCGAATTAAGGTAGACTTATTTACCCCAAGTGTAAGTATCCCAATTGTGTCTAATAACACATTGATTCACTAAAAGGAAAATTAATACAAATAAGTATAATAATAATAAAATTACGTATTAATACGACATTTAATTTTTGTATTCATGTTATTTTGTTATCTTTAATGGACTGGAAAGCACCATTTGCGTTGAATTTATTTAGCTCATGTGAATACGCTATATTAAATTTATATCAAATATTAAAATACAAAGGATGTACAGTCGGGTTATTTATTTAGTTTTAATAAACACTACAAACAGTATTTCCTACATAAATGTATGGGTCGCAATAGGGAATCAGGAGGTCAAAAACTATTAAAATCCACTTCCTATTGAACACTATTCCCTAATATACGCTTTTAAGGTATTTTTAGTACTTTTAGTACGTTTATTTTTCAAGCGGTTTTCATAATATCTGGGAAAAACCGGGATAAAATGTCGGTAAAACGGAAAATGTACGAAGTGTAGATATTAGTAAAAAAAATATTATGGCCTTTTTGTTTTCTGTGTACAACTATTCTACCAGCTATTTGGTTCCGATTTTAAATGATAGCATTTTTTCAGAAAGGAAATCTGACTGGTAAAGTACTTTAAATAAGTCATTTTGCAATTTTCCCAGCAAATGTGAAAAAAACACTGGAAAACCGGGATAAAAATAGAAAAACTTGAAAATCGTTACAATATTAAACTAATATTGTTAAAGAGAATATATAATGCCTATTTAATTATTTTATCCTGATATAACATATATATTGTTGACAAAGAATCACTATCAACTGAACTACATTCAGAATCGTTTTATCGTTAGCAATGGTCAAGTTTACAGATATACATAAATTACCTATAACAATTCCTAATATATTTATGTTTAATAATAAACCATTTAAATAATTTTTTTATAAATAAATTATTTTCATGTAAAACGACCAATTTGTATACATTTTTTGTCTATGTATTCCTTCATTTAATTTTGAATTCTGGATGGAGCGAAGAAACTTATGGTTTTACAAAGATGTTTATTTTTTTTTTTCTTGTGGACAACTTTTCTACCTGCAATTTTGCTCTAAATTATAATGACAGTAATTTTTCTAAAAATAAATTTCACTATGGAGGTACTTTAGAAAGGTAGTTTTTGAATTTTTCCAGAGTTTTCTCAGCAAATATGAAAAACTGGGAAAAAAACATATGAGAACATGGAAAAACGTTAGTAAACCGAGGAAATCGGTACAGTATTAAACAAATATTATTAATGAAAATATATAGAGCCAACTTAATTATTTTACTATAATATGGCATATAGATATTATTGAAAAAGCATCATTAACAACTGAACTCCGCTCAGAATCATTTTTTCGTAAGTTAATAGTTTATCATTACTTTTGTGATGTTTAAGTATATATATATGTAATATTGTCTTTAACTATACTTAAAAATTCCCAAAATTAGAATTTGTGTGTACACATAATTTAGCCCTAAAAATGGAATGAGCGTGGTAAATGAATCGCCCTTTATATTATACAGAAGGTACATAACCATACAATTGTCTTACATAAATTAATTTATTAAAAGTATACCGGACGGTTTTAGATTCTAAGCAATTATAATTGGTGCATTGAATAGGTCATTTTTTGATTTTCCAGGGGATTTTCATATTAGGGAAAACCTGAAAAGTACGTAAACATATAAATATCCGGAGTTGGGTAATGATTATACTTAGATCTATTTTTAGTTGTATCGCTTTTGATTATACTTGATCATAATGTGATTTAAATATAATATCGATCATAAGATCATCATGAAACTAATCATAGAAATATTATGCGGATTGAAAAAAAGTTAAATGTACAAAATTATTTTTTTTTTTTTAGGTTGTTGGTTGGGGACTAACAGAAAAAAAGACACCAAGTCCTATACTATTAGAAGTTTCATTACCATACATTCATCATGATAAATGTATGGATATTAGTGCAAACGATTTTAAAAATTACGTGACCAAGGATAAATTCTGTGCCGGATATCAATCAGGTAACAAATATTATTACAAATTACTGTATGTTATTGTATAGAATGTTATGGCCTAATTATTTAAGTTAATAAAGCATTCAATTTTATAATAATCTGAAACCAAAAGTCTATTTTTACAAGTGACGTAAATTAACCTGTGAAAATCTATCTTTTTGCATCTCCACAAAATTTTAAACATTTGTATAAATACTGAACTAAAATTTTTATTTTCAAAAGTATTAATTTGTATAAGAGTTCAAAAAAAAATTTCAATTTTTGTAATGATTCAATTTCATGATGGGACTTATCCATAACATAGTATGTAATAGTGTGATGGTTTATTTAAAGGAGTAAAATGTAGACGTGAATTAAATCCACTGACAGTATTTGTCCATCGCTATACTCATCTCACATATTGAGTATAATATTTCTAATAATCAAAAAAATGTTACTTTTAAGTGTTCAAATTTATTATTGAATTATCGAGAAATTTGGAGTTGGTTAGTTAGAAAATTAAATATTTCAATGCGTTAGCAGAAATCCGTGTTTTGTGTACTTTTTTGCTCTTTTGCATCGAGTGTAATTTATTATCTTTTAATAAAATATTGTAAAACTCATAACAAGAATCGTTTTTAAAATGTGGTTTTATTATTTATTATACTAGGTGATCGATCTAAGTGGGTATACTCATTGACAAAATGTGTCCTATACAACTTTCGTCGGGACAACGAGAAAAAAAAGTTGAAATATGGGATAATCCCGTGTAATATGGGACATATGATCGCCCTAATCTATATGAATATTTTCATTATATGATATTAGAATTTCAAAAACCCTAAATCTCGATTTGATTTTAAAATGTCATTTGGATAAACCATTAACCACTACTGTATATCGGCCGTTAACATAGGTAGGCATTTTCTATTAATGCGAACATCGAATTTTAATAAAAACAATTTTAGTTTCAGGAACGGCCGTTGATCAAGGAGATAGTGGTGCTGGCTTAACCTTCGTACACTCAGATTCTCATTTTTTAACTGGAATAGTGAGTTTGAAGGAGACCGTAGACAATACATTCGCAACTTTTACGAGCGTGTCTTACCATAGGAATTGGATTGAAACCATTTATTTAGAAGTACAATAGTTAATCTACAATAATAACCCGTTAACCCGATATCCATCAATTTAATATAGTGCAGCACCCAATACAGTACCTTGTACCTATAGTCGGGCTTACGAAAAGTAAGCGCTGGCGGCCAATGTCAGAGTTCAAATATTTGGATTCTCAGTATTGTAGTATTGTTTTCTACTACCGCATGAATCGCTTCATGAGTCATGAAAATAATATTTTTATTTCGGAGGGGTTGAGGAACATATGTTTGAAGCTATTGGGTAAAATTTCCACTGCGGTCGCCAGCGCTCACTCTTTGTGAGTCCTACTATACTGAATATATAATTATATTACACATTACATTTTATAACATTAATTTATTTCAATATTTGTAAATCATATAATATGTATTTATTAATTTGATTTATTTCAAAACAAAATATACGAATTAATAAATAAAATGTAGATTTAAAATGATATACCGTATCAGCACTTAGTATGATTGTACATTGACATCAAAATATTCTTATAACGGTTATTTATACCATCACGCAAAGGCGACAGATTTTGAAAATTTCAGGAGGGGCTCACTATTTTATTCCATTTTATTTTACACATGTACAGTTTTACTTAAATCTTACCATATATTTCCTATTTTTATTTTCGTTAAAATGTTCGTTTGAAAATTACTAAAATATAGTTATTTGTTGTTTTGTATGTTATAATATTTTAACTATATAAGCATTATGAAAAATCACAAGATAAAAATTTAAAAAACCAGACACCAGATACCAGTTAACCAACAACAGGTTCTTGGTTGATTATCAAAATCTACACTTTTTCTCTGCTATCAAAAAAAAAAAAGGGACTACGTACTTTGCACGTGGATGCAGCCACTTTTGTAGGTGGGAAGTTGGGAACGATTCTGAGCGAAATTCAGTTGATAGTGTTACTTTGTCAACAATACAATATATGATATATGTCATATTACAGAAAAATGATTAACAATGTAAACGCACATTGTTGTAATCATGATAAACAATGATTGTTTAAAAAAGACTAAAATAATAAAAACTTAATAATAACAAAAAATAAATAAAATCAGTTGTCAATGAAAACTTTTTTTAATCTTTCAATCTTTTTTAACCTAAAAACCCAAGTTCTACTTAGAATCTAAAAAACATTTATTTTTCTCGATTAATTTGCTATAAATAAAATTAGTATTCTGAAGATATACATGAATATATTGATTTTTTTTTTATAATATGTGAACCGTGAGCGACTGAGCTCCATCTTATCTAGCTCATGGGACGCTGCAGCCCCCTTGTACACGGCGCTCCTGTATATACGTAATCGATTTTTAACAAATTGTAAACAGCTATTAATTTCATCAATTGATGTCAAACCGATTACGGATCAAGTAAATGTTTATGTGGTTGGTCAGCTAGATGTTAAAATATAAAGATAGTACCTACCTCTGTAGAATGTAATTAACATAATATGAGACAAGCCTTAAAATACTGATCGGTTTATTTCAGCGTTCTGGTGTGTAATACCACGCTCTGACAGTATTGATATCGCGAAGTGACGCGATGTGTCTCGTGGGTGTCATTGACAGGAAAAGAAGGGTGTCGTACGAAAAATGACAAAAAATAATCCCTGGTAAATATTATAGGTAAAAAGTATATTGAAAATTTACTATAATATATAGTACCTACCACAGGATTAACACGACACCGGTGGTCTATTTCTGTTGGTATCAATGAAAAGGTATTTTATACATTATATAACACTAAAGTAACAAGTTATACATTTAAATTTCAAAGTAGCGCTATGTGTTGATCCTACATAATATAAAGGTATAAAGATTTATATAATAGATTTCTATATGTAATAAACAGTTCATATTATAAAAAAAATTAAATACAAATCCTAAAACGGAAATCTTTATAATATATTATTATACGATTTATTGAATCCTATAGTAAGAATAATGCTTGGACACTCGGTAATTGAAAGGGGACACTAGTGGACAATTGTGTTAAAGTACCACCTTTTATATCATTATGTTTTTATTTTGTGTTATTAACGTTGAATTTATCGGTGTATATGATAATACTATCCATCATGGGTAGATCACTGTTAGAATTGGACAATTTGACAATTTGGAATGTATAGTGAAGATATCTAAAAAAAAAATGTGTAAATAATAGTAGTTCCTGAAATTCATCCTTATTCCCCCTTCTCCCCATGACAAAAACATTTGACCATCACTGTTCCAACGTTACGAATCTTAAAATTGTGAAAACTGTTACTATACCAAAACTAAAAGTTTAGATTTTTCCTTAATTTAAAACCGGTTACGCAATTACATAGCAATAACTGTATGTCATGTTGCGCCATATACGCCCGATTACAACGATTTATGTTGGTACATAAAATATACATTAAGTTGGGATCCAAATCACTATTATTTTACAACTTATATGCTACTTTTAATAGATAATACATAATACATAAGTACCCGGATTTTGATATCCAAAATTGTTGATCAGTTCGCATTTGTATACCCTTTAGTGGTATTCTATACATGATATATTCCTATTAAAATTGTCTTATTTTACTTATTATTTATCTTAAATATGACTGAAAATTTAGAAGACTAAAAAGATCTAGCTGTACTTGCTTTGTTGCTAATTGAAGAAAAAGAACTAGAAAAAACAATGAAAAAAAACTGTTTATTATATTATGTCGAAAAAAAGAAAAACACAAAGAATATTACATCTTCAAATAAAGTTTTCGTCAGTTATCATGGAGTAGAATAACGAAGTATTGTATTATTATATTCTATACATATTGGAAAATTGCAAACATAACAAAGGCTATAATTTGTTGGAAAGTATTATCTATGAACTGTATTTTAACGGAAATGGGTTTTTTGGAAACGTATTTTGTCGGGAAAATAATTCGTCGGAAAATATTTGGTCGGAACAGTATTTTGTCGGAATTATTCAATATAATTTCATCATAAGCACTCGATGACTGCATGTTATCATCGTTGGGTAAAAATTATTTTCCGACAACATGTTTTCTGACGAATTATTTTTCCGAAAAAAAACTCTCCGATAAAATACTTTTGGACGAAATATTTTTCAAACAAAATACGATTTTGAAAAAGCTCATTTCCAACAAAATACGGCTCCTACGAAATTTTTTTTCGAAAAAATATGGTTCTGACAAAATATTTTCCAATATTTTACTCGCCCCCAAACTAATTGGTGACTCCTGCCTTTAGAATATCATTTATGTGGTGGCACGGTGCACGGCGTATTATTATTAGTGCTCCACTAATCTCCCCCTATACCTAAACTTAAAAGTGGAATATTAGTTTTAGAAGAATCAATATCTAAAGATAATCAATCATCTAAGACGAAGTTCATCGACATTTTTGTGAGAGAATTTATAAATCCAATGAAATAATGTTGAGTTAACCTATACTCATTAACTGTTATGACAAGAACGTCTATTTTGCTTTCCATATTACTGATTCGGAGTTCCAATATAGGTATACAAACAATTAAAATAATGAAATCACTGCGCACATGGTGTATACAGTTATTAGCACCACAGGTTTAGGTACATAGGTAAGAAGTGATAATGTCCACACATTCGGCACAGCGACAAACGTGGGGATACATGTTAGGCTGGACTGCGGGGTTCTGAGTTCAAATAGCTGATCGAAGCTTACAACAATATGATTAAGATTAGGCTAAAACAACATAAAATTATAAAAATTTACTTGACAAAAACAATGTAAAATAACCAGAATTAGCCACTTCAAATACCACAGGAAGACGCGTGTAGGAAAACACGAAAGGAAGCGAATTATACCCAACGCGTAAAGATATACACAAAAATATAATTATAAGAAATAAGAATTTATTTAAAAATAAGCAAATTACGTGTAATTAATAATTGTTTAATTTTACATTAATAACGTAATAATTAATGTATTGTGATTTAATTGGCTGTTCTTAGTGTTGTGATTTATAAATGATTATATAATTTAATATGAAAATTGTCATTTTTTTTATAAATTAAAAAATATGTATTTTAATAACCTTTAATTTCTATAGCAACCAAAATTACATTTTTTGAACTGAGTTAAGTTAAAATCTTTTTGCATTTTAATTTTTACCTTAACTAGATACTTCAATTTATTATTTTTTTGACTTTTAACTTAGTTCTTTATTTATTTTTTCAACTTAGCTAATTATTTGCATTAATTTAGCCACCTTTAGGCGTACAAGTTTAGTAAGGTGCCATTACCAATAATGAATACCTATTTAGATTGCGTTTAACATAAATTCATAGCACAATTACACGATAATATAATAGTTGCGAATTTGTTTTAAATATATTTTTAACGCTACCTATGCAATATATTATTATTTTTAAATAAATTACACCAACGATGATACCCATACGAAATATTGTACTGATATACCGCTAGACTACAAACTATTGCAGTGGGCAGTGGCTTGTTTGTGAACATGTTGTCGACCTTGCCTTCGACGACGATGACGATAATGATGAATAAAATCTATTCGAGTATAATTTGTTTGAGGATAAAATAGGAGGGGGTCAATGATAAATGTATGCGTATAAATATATTATAACCTTATAGAACGAAAAACTCTCTTATCTTCAATAATATGAAAACAAAAATCATAACACTGACAATAATAATAACGATGATGTATGGATTTTGCCCCAGCTTCTGTATCTGGTTATTTAGGCCGACAAATTCGGTAATAAAAACTCATTATCTATTTTGACGGTGGCGATAATGATAATATGAAAGAATATTGCAGGACGTTATACCTACATTGTTCAACTTTTGTGATGATAATTGTGTATAGTTGTAAGTATACACGCAGTTGTTGTACCTACTCCTCCTACTTCTTATGGCCGTAGAGCGACGAGCCAGCCAAGTCAATTGCAACAACGCAACTTCAGTGCATTTTCGTGGCACGAACTGATTCCATATTTTTTATTAATTTCTTATTTTCTTTTTCTTTAATATATTTAGAGATTATTACCGTCATGTTTCGATTACTCTTCGTCATCACAGTGATTGCAGTGATTAACGCAGGTCAGTGTATTTAAATACGAAATAAACATTTTAAAAACCATTAAAATTCACACAGAGCGTAAAGGCAAACGACGAAAAAGTCATATTTCTTTCCGATATTCGATAATATCGGGATGTGTATCGTATCTGTTACGATAGTACATTGTTACCGTTTTATGCGCTTAAAATAAATGATCATAAAATATTATCATATAAGTATGAACAAGGTGGGGGACGGAATTATCATTTTTATTTAATGTAAAAGTACTATCAGTCCCCAAGTCTTTGAAGTTCAGTGAGTGAAAATAACTAAAGGGTTTCACTGTAATATTTTTAATGGCATTATCAAAACTCGAATTACTTTTATTAAAAATAAATTCTTTAATGCTTCGATTATACGTAATCAGATACTGTTTTACCCACTTTATTTTTACTTAGCAGACATATATGTAGGGTAATATTTAAGAGGGGGAGGGTGCAGAGCAGAAATTAGATTTTCGGATCTCCGGGGCAAATCTTTTTTTGAGACCCTTAACAGAAAAAAAATTGAAAATACCCAATATCTAAGTAGTTAAGGAAAAAATAAAAATTTGCCAACTTGTACGTTACTATCTACCTAAAATATGTTTATTTTAAGTTTAAAATACTGCTGTTCATGTATCACAAATATCGAAATTCATATAAATATGGCAATATTTTATAAAACTTCCATAATTTTAAAAGTAAAAATAAGTATATTAATCTCATAACATTTTATTTATTACAATTTTTAAATCAAATCTTTACACTGTAGTGTTACATTAATAATTTCAAAACAAAAAAAGGCCAAAACATACCTGATGGGTGCAGCCACTGTTCTAAGTGAAAAATTGGGAAAGTAAAATATAGAGAGGAAATTAATTTGTATATGCAAGCAACAATAAACCATTGCTTACTAAAAACGATTCTAAGCGGAGTTCAGTTTATAGTGATACTTTAGGTCAACAATATATATGTCATATTATGGTAAAATAATTAAATAGGCATTATATATTTTCTATAATAATAAATAATACTTATTTAACCGAGTATTTCGTTTTTCCTACGTTTTTTTTTTCGGTTTTCCACATTTGATGCGAAAATCAAAAAATGACCTCCTTAAAGTACCCCCAAAAAAATTTACTTTTAGAAAAGGGTCTACATCGTTTACATTAGAGTAAGCTTTCTGGTAAAAAAAAGTGTTCACATACAAAAAAAATATACATCTTTGTAAAACCAATACATTCTTTGCTAAAAAACCTAATTTAATTACTAATTACGCACACATGACTACAAGAAAATAAATACACGTATGCACGCATTAATTCGATCACTGGACACAGAATGACTGAACTAGTTGTTCGGTGTTTATTCATTTATTGCTACTTAATTAATTAAATACTTAAAAAGATTGGAAGCGAGTTTCTGTCTTTGTCTCGCACACGTTAAGATATAGTGATTTAGACGTGTTTTATTTTCAATGTACCGATTGATCTACTGAAGCGATAAGAATAATCTGAAAGCAGATTTGAATTTTTCGATAAGTCTACTTGAGATCAACTCTCCCAATTTTTTGATTTTTGATTTTAATTTCTCAAAACATTAAAATATTCCATTTTTTTCAACTACTCTTTTATTAGCATCGATTTTTTTAGAATTTAATGAGATAAATTTAAAAATTGGGAAAGTCGATCTTAAGTAGACTTCACGATAAATTTAAATCTGTTTCCAGAATTATTATCGCTTCACTAAATTAATCGGTACGTTGGAATTAAAACATGTCTAAATCCCCATATCTCACGTATGTTAGACAAAAACAGAAACTCGTTGCCTTCAATCCCCTTAATATTTATAAACTGTATTGAATTACATGGCAAATAATGACAAAAATGAAAACAAAATAATATAACGGTCTGCGCTATTATAATATGGTACGGTGATACGTAGAACTGTAGAAGTCCATGATAAGACTTATCAAACCTGGGTTTTCTAGGTGGCGAGTACTACCATCGCACTGTTTGAAAATAAATCATATAACCACAGGAACATTTATACCTATGTACTAAAATATTTTATGTTCGTTGGATGCCCCATGGTCTCATGCATTATGTTGTCTCGTGTAATTTTGACGTATTAATTTGCAGCCAAAATCATAATACAAATACAAATCAATAATTATTTTTTAAAGTTGATATTTTTTTCTATAACTTTCCTATGCCAAGCATCAAAAAGTTTTGAATTTTTTATATAGTATTCCGGCAACCGGATGCTCCCAAAACATCTGCTGCCCGGGCCAAATGCCCTTAAAATCTTCCGTAAAATATGGCCCTGAGAGGGTGCATTTAAAATGGTTATAAACGAATATGTGTTAGAGAAAAAAATTTCGAAAATTATGTCCCCATGATGGGTTTCTTGAAAGTTTGGTTGGTTTAAGTTAGTTTTAGGGAACACTGCTAGCTTTCGGTAAATATAGTCACCCTTCGAAGTTTTTCTCATTTCAAACACTGGGTAGGGAGGGGGTCTGATGATAGATAACAGCATTCTCGTTTTTTCGTTTTTGGTCTGTATGTTTTTAGAAAATTGTAATTTTACCGTATGACGGAGTTGAAAAAAAATAATACTAAAATCAGAACTATAGCAATGCATGATAGCGATATAAATTTATTTATACGAACTAGCAATTAATTACATATTGTGTATTCATATTTGTATCATGCCAATAGGATTTTTACATATACAGCTAGTATAGATATACATAATACATACATCACGTAGTGCAATAGATTATGCCTAAAAATGTGTGTAATTTTTATAAAACTGTAGGTATTCGGTAAAAAAGAAATCCCTATTGCAAATTTCAATTGAAGAAATTCCCAGAAAAAAATTCTAAACTTTAGTTACTTATTGCGGTCTTACTTACTTCGGCACCTATTGGTGATGGGTGCGGCAACCTGATTGCTAAAATTATATCCTGATACAATGTTGAATTATTTTTTTACAACATTTAAGGAGTATCATGTGGTGATAACAACTTTGGTTTTTATAATGAGAACCTATATTGAAAATTCTATAGATAGACGGAGTATTACTTTAAATACATTTTGGAATCAAAATGTTTGATTTCCCCCAAACCCAATATTCCACTATTAAGTTTAAGTATAGAGAGAAAGTAGTGGAGCATTAATAAAACGCCGCGCGCCGTGCCGCCACACAAATGATACTCTAAAGTAGGGGTCACCAATTAATTTCTACGGAGGTCCATTTTGAAACTTACTAAACCTTTCGGAGTCCCAAACAGTTCTAATGAATTTTACTCTTTTAATGACTTTCCTCCTATACCTGAACTTAAAAGTGAAATATCTCAATAACGAATTAACAGAAATCAACAATTTTAGTATCAAAATGTATTTAAAGTAATACTCCGATAATTTATAGAATTTTCAATATAGGTGATCATTTGAAAAACCAAGGTTAGTATCACCATGAGATACTACTTAAATGTTATGAAAAATTGAAGTACTCGAAAATATCGGCTTTAATCAAACTTAAAAATTCCAAAAATCAGAATTTGAATATATGCAAAATTTAACCAAAAACATGGGGTGAGCATGCTTAGTGAATCACCAAGTATATATTTTATTTTTGGCCCAATACCTGGTTATTAAAATATGAACAAATAGGCTGAATATAAAATTATATTGAAATATGAAATATACCATAATTACTGAATTCTGAGTGGAGCGAAGAAGCTTATGGTCTTTATGGTTTTTCAAAAATGTTTATTTTTTTTTCTTTGGACAACTTTTCTACCAGAGATCTTGTTCCAATATTTGCGTGTAGCATCTTTTCTGAAATAAAATCGGTGTAGGGAGGTACTATAAAGAGGTAATTTTTCGATTTTCTCGAGAGTTTTTTCATCAAATGCGAAAAACCGAAAAAAAAAAACGAAAAAATGTATGCAATATATTTGTATAACGTTACGATCTTTTTTTAACATGTCCAATATACAATGAATTTGAAATAATTTTTATTAATAAATATGAAACGATTACAAATTTGTGTTATCTAATGATATTATGTTTATATCAATATACCTACATGGCGAACAGGCTAAATAGTTTGTTATAAAACAATTATAACAGGAGGGTTCACTTGTAATCCCCTGGTTTTTAAAATTATTGAAAACATGGAATGATGAAAATAAAATTAACTTTATTTCAATTATTTATAAACTAATTGGTACAAAAAAAATTATTTTTTGAACAATAATATGTCGTCTAGGTTTTTGCGAAATTTGTTCAATTATATGATTGATTGTTGTTGATAACAACAATGAACAGTGTACAACTAAATAAAAACATACAAAAAATAATAAAACATATTTTAACAACATACAATTATTTTTCATTTTTTGTTTGAAAAACTACACTTGTAATTAAAAGAATAACGAAAAAGTAAGGTCAAAATTTGCTAAAGACTCATGCATGCAGTGGTGTAGAGGTTCATTAAGACCAAAATTGATTGCAGAGGTAGAAAGTGAAAAAGAAACAGACAGGCCGGAAAAACGGAGAAGAATTCTAAAGAAAATCTTAGAGAGTAAGAAGAGCGAATCAATTTGCTTGTTCAACAGTTTGGCCAAAAAGCCGAGGTTGCTTGAGCGATTACGATTAGCCAATGTTTTCAACTTAAGGAACTGGAGGACAAAGGCATAACAATACGGTAGACACCCAATCTTAAAAACATAATTTAAATATTTACGTTGAACACACTCAAACATACGTGAGTAATCTACCATGACAAAGTTGCAAATTTGTAATATGTGCTATTTGTATGGTTTTTTTTCAGATAGGATAATGTTCATACTTAAGTATTATATGATATATAATATGAATATAATATATACACTGCAAAATAAAGTTATTTTTGCATATAGTAAACTATATGTAAACAATTAAACATCATATACCTATAAGTTACCAATAATTTATAATCCCGTGTAGCTTTTTAATATGTAACTACTTTATTTATATACAAGGTGATTCATTATATGTGTTCACCCAATTTTATATTCCGAGTGTAGCGAGGGGAGCTATTTATTTTACAAATCTTTTTATTTCATTTTTTTCTTATTTTTCTTTGTTCTAGTCTGTGGACACGTTTTTTCCTAATAAACTTGCTTCGATCTTTATCATCCACAGCTTTTCTAAAAGCTCAAATTGTCTAGATTGTACTTTGAACAGGTCATTTTTTGATTTTCGAAGCCATTTTTTAAATAAAAGCGCTTTAGTAGAAAAATACGTAAGAAAACGTACAATTTCACGATTTCATTATTTAACAAAACACAGACGACATTTTCTACCAGAAAAAATGATTTTATCGAAAAATCATAAGATAGCTTTTTTGTTGCCTTTTTGATTTACTTTCTTACAGTATCATCACCATAAAGTTTGAGTTACTTTTGAGTTTTTAAGGAATTTTAATTTTTGGAGTTTTTTTGATGTAATTCAGTTATAAATACACATAGAGACTTGAAACTTGGTAATCATACCTTTATTGGACTTACTTAGACGTAGTAAATTTTCCGAAATCATTGGACGACTTTTTTTTTATAAGCATTTTGAAACCAAATTTAAACAAAAATCGCAAAAATAAATACGACACTTCAAATTATGTATTATATTATTTACTAAAAAAAGATTTGTTTTTTTTTTAATTTGCGCCCATTTAAATGCACTATTAAATTAAACAACAGTAACTATCAGCCTTCCACCATGCGGGGGTAAGGTTAAGTTAGGTTAGGGGACTACATAAAGTGTAACGAGTTCTGACCTCAAACAGTCATAACTCATAATATATAAATCATACACCGATGTTTAATCTGTTCTTTGTAATCATATATACAACCCATTTTAATTTTAACTGAAAATTAATTGATTAGTATAAAATGATTTTGAAAAAAAAATTGTAGTTAGGTGAACAATTTTTTTGTGGTTATTGATTTTTCTGAAGAATATTATAATTTTAACTAGCCAGATGCCAGTATAGTGTACCTTTATGTAATGATGCTAAAGACAGTCCTTAGTCTAAAGGAAGAGAAGAATATTGTTGTTCAATATTTGGAAAGCAATCATTATAATTTGTACTTTTACTCTATTTTCCCACTTACACACACACACACACACACACACATACACAAAATGGGATGATATTCTTTTTACATAGTAATTGTAGTTAACTATATAAAGTGAAAGTTTCAAGGAAATAAAAAGCAGTTAAAATGTATTTTAATTCCACCTACTTCCGATCTTATCCAATCGATTTTTACCACTTGGACAATGTTAATCATCTATCTTAATAGGTGGATTGCCACCCACCTATTTTTAAACAAAATATTCAATTATAAATTTTCATAAACTACCACTTTTATATTCTATGCAGTGGCGTAACCAGAATTTTTAAATGTGTAGGCCAAAGCCAAACATTTTTTAAAAATTTACTCAACAAATTAAAATAAGTTATTAGTAGTCATAGATATGTTAAGAAATATAAATTATTTGGTTATTAAATATGTACACTGTAATGATTTTTTATTATATAATATTACATTGGAAATAGTTTTTTTTTCAAAAGCTAATTAAAAAAAAGTTACTTTTAAATAAATTGATAAGATTGAAGAGCACTAATGCATTGCATATTTTTCAAACGCATTAATAAACTATATAAGTTAATACGTAAATGTGTTGACACGGCCAATGGGGAGAAGTCATGGCTCACTAGCTGTCACTGATTCTATGCTTAGCGAGAAATGTATTCGTTTTACTATGATATGAACGATTTTTATTTTTTCTGTAAACAAAATTTCTACTAGAAATCTTGTTCCAATCAAAAAATGACAAGGAACATTCTCTTTTGTATTTTAAATCTAACTGATGCATTGAGGACGTCATTTTTTGATTTTCCAAGCAGTTTTTATAATAATTGGAAAAACTAGAAAAAACCATCTAAGAAAAACAGACAAATTGTTAACGGCGTTAATATTTTATTAATTTAATATTTTTTTGCGTTATTTGCGGTATTCTACCAGAAATATTGCATCGAGAGAAAATTGTGTTTATTTGGTGTGTAAGAAATTCGTTTCTTGATTCTTCGTGTAGTTTTATTTATAATTGACTAAAATCGGAAAAGTTTATGGAAATAACGATTTCATTATTTTTAATTTAATTATTAATACTAAGTGATGTAATAATAATAATGTAGATTTACTACATTATGCATGGGAGTTATTTATTCGTTTTATCAATGAAAAAATATTATAAATTATAAAATTATTTAACTATTTTAACTATAAATTAATACAATATGTATTATATTGCAGATCCACAAAATATAGCGTTCGCTGAAAATTTAGAAACGTATAGTAAAGCGAATCATGATTTTGCATTATCGTTGTATACAGTAAGAAATATTCGTTTAAACATTTAATAAAGTTGGAAATGTGTTCTATCTAATAATTAATAATTTTTTAAAGAAACTAGCCGAAATAGAAACTGGAAACATTATCTATTCACCACTTAGTATTCATGTGATTATGTTTATGACTAGTATTGGAGCAGTTTCGAAAACATTAGACGAAATTATAAAAACAATACATTTGACAAATATTAAGTATTCAGTGGAAGATTACAGTGCTATGTTGAAAAGAATCACAGTGAGTATAAATAAAACACGAGATATAATATTGAACATTAATTCCATTTTTAATAAAATTAAAATATGTATTGTCTTAACTCTTAAATATAAAAACTTTAATAAATGTGTTAAGTATAATTGAATTATTCAATATTTTTCTAGGATGGATATAATAATCTAAAACTAGTATCTGCCATATTTATTGATGAAGATTTTAATGTGAAAGATAGTTTTCTAGCAAAATCAAATTTAAGTCCTTTTTGGGTTTATAAATCAGATTTTAAGAATAAACATGAATCATGGCGCCAAACCATTAATATGTGGGTTTCAAACAAAACTGAACATAAAATCGAAGAACTATTTCCTAAAGGTTATAAATATAGTGTATTTTTTTTTTTAAATTTTGCATAAATAATTTGTTTGTCTATCGTTTTACAGAGTTAATCGATGCAAATACTGCTTTAGTATTGGTTAATGCTGTACATTTTAAAAGTCCGTGGGTATATAAATTTTATGAAATAAATAAAGAACCATTTTACTCGTACTCCAAAAAAATACAATCAGTCAAAATGATGACTTTAATGCACGATTTGCAATACTATCACGATATGCATTTGAAATATTCTGCTGTTGAATTACCATATAATGTAAATATTGCATTATATTAGTATTAATAATCTATGGGACAAATGTACAACTTATTTTTATTTTATTCAGTACTATAATTTCAAAATGATTATTTTACTACCCGATGATAAAGATGGGTTAAAATCCCTCGAGAAAAATCTTGTAAATATCAACCTTAATAATATCTTCAAACAAATGAATGAGTATCACGTCTCTGTAAAATTACCCAGTTTTAAAATAGAACAATCACTATACCTAGAAGAAGCATTTAAAAGGGTAAGAATACTTCAAAAATGTATAATAAATAGTTGTCAAGTTAAAAAAAAACTTAAAATATTGTAGCTTGGATGTTCAACAATGTTCACGCCCAGAGCAAACTTCTCTAAAATTTCTAACAAAGGTGGTTTGTATGTTAATAACTTAGTACATAAGGCATTTATTGAAGTCAATGAAAATGGAACTTTAGCTGCAGGAGCTACAGGTAATGAAATATATAAATAATATAATATATACTATTGACAATAGTTCATCCATCGTTTAATCTTTTCGAGGTAAAAATAACTACATAATCGATTGGTTAATTTACCAGGATACAAATTAAATTGTATTTAAATAATATAAAATTAGAAACATTTATTCATTCAACTAAATAATCCAAATAATACGTTAGCTCCTATTAAACTTCTATGATGTTATTTTTAATTTATAAATTATTTTATTTTCGCTACATTATTCATTAAGTTAATGAACTTTTAGAATCTGAATGGAGCTAGTCATTTTTTGATTAACCAAGCAGTTTTCATAGTAATTGGGAAAAATCGGGCAAAACTTAGGAAAAAAGGCAAAGTTTACAAAAATAAATCTTTTAAAATTTTGAATTAAATTTTTCGTTGCTATTCAGTTAAAAACGATCGTGGAAATTTGAAATTTTGACAAAAGATTTAAATTCGCCTTTAATGGACACGGTAAAATTTTCAAAAATTTAAGCCATTTTTGAACTATTTATAGGCAATTTAATTTTGTGAATTTTTTACATAATTTTTATTCAGAAGGTACTCTAACAATAAAATTGTTAGACCAAACAGAAGTACTTGAAAACTTAACATGAAGTTCATTATAAGTTGTGCTTAGTAGTCGACAAAAAATGGTTTAATTTAATCGTTTTTCGTTAGCAATGATTAATCATTAAGATTGAGTTCTTCCAATTTTCCACCTACAGATGGAAGGCCCACCCTTCCATTGGGTAACTGCGAAGTTTGTACGTCTTTATTTTTTAAGAAGATTCTAAAATAATTCCACAATAACTGAAAAAAAAAGACATCCTACAATAATAAAGTCGGGTACAGCCACTGTTATAAGTAATTTAATGTATACCTGTAAGCAACGATAAACCATAACGAAAAAAACGATTTTGAGCGGAATTCAGTTGTTAGTGATGCTTTGTCAACAATATATATGCCATATTATGGTAAAATAACTAAAGAAGCAAAATATATATTCTTTATTAATGTTTGTTTAGTGTACCGATCTTCCCATGTTTTTTTTCTGTGGAAAAATCTTGAGAAAATCGATTAATGACTTCTCTTAAGTATCTCTTCAGACAAATTTCCTTAGAAAAATTGCGATCATAATATATTGGATCAAAATTGCTGATAGAAACTTTGTCCATAGAAAATAATCACTATTTTACTAATATATATTTTGTACATTTTCCCGTTTTTCGCATTTAGTGAGAAAACTTTTGAAAAAAATCAAAAAATGACTTCCTTAAAGTACCTCTTCATACCGAGTTCTTTTCAGAAAAGGTGTTATACGTAAAAATCGGAGCAAGATCTCTGGTAAAAAAGTTGTCCATAGAAAAAAAAATAAACATCTTTGAAAAACCATAAGCTTCTTCGCTCCACTCAGAATCTAAAAACTAAATATATTTACGTTCACAATAATTAATAATGGTTACCAATAAAATTTTACATATTATTAAATTATTAATGTCATACATATTATGTGATCTATCTATATGATAGTAAAAATAATAATTTATTATATTCTGTTAATTTTTTTTTTTTTTTAGGCGGGTCAGTTTCTTTGCTGAGTCTACCTTTGCCACGGACTAAAGTACAATTTACTGTCGATCACCCTTTCTTGTTTTTTATTGTTTCTGAATATAATGATATTATACTTTTGGGCCGAGTATTACAAGTATGAATGCTTATTTTTAACAGTCAATTTATCATTTATGTACTTGATTTAATAATTTGTAATATAATATAATATACCTACTGAAACAAAATTATGCAGCTATATTTAAATTTTAAAAATCATGCGTATTGCATAAATAATACAATTATTTGTAAACTGTTTTTGATCAAATATACAGAGGTGATGAACTGTAACTCGATTTTAATAATATTGTGTTCATTAAAAATATTATAAATTATAAGAAAGTATATTGAATATACAATTCAACATAATAATATTATAGGTATTGTGGAGGTTCACATTAGTTCATTACAATGATATCAATCGGCAATCGGTCTGCCAAAGTCATACCTTCAGATAATTCATTCTATTTAGCTTTTCGGTCAACACTTTCTCAGTAGCCGAATACATAATATACTTTTCAAGGATATGTAATGTTATGCTCACACAACATATCTATGTACAATTTATTAGTTATATTATTATAAAAGTATGACTAAAAGATTCAAATGCGGCCGAATACTTGGTATTCTCTACTTAAAAAAACATAACGGATCATTTGTTAGATACATATTATATTCTTTACAAATAAAATATTTTAAACTGGGTCAAATAAAGTTAAAATTTACAACATCCGCTTCAGCCCTCCGAGGACATTGCCACACCGTCGCCACAGTCATACTTTGAGTATTTTAATAATTTTCATAAAGCACCACAATAAATATAATTCTATTATTCATCTTCTATTGACACCAACATGAAAGCCAACAGGGCTGTTTTAACGTTCCCAAATAATAAAGGTTTTTTCGTTGTTCAAGAAGGATCCATATTCCATTAATTATTTTCATTAAACATATTTCAATACGAATCAAATAAAAATATAAGTAAGACATCTATAAAATCATACCACTCACACTAGGTACCCTTATAATTATTCTCATACAAAATTCAAATAAAATATATGAATGGATTTTTTTCATAAAAACTAGAGCATCTTGACCGCTCATGAAATCCCAAGACCATCACTCAATCTAGAACCTGTATAAAGAACATAATTATTACCACCTCTTCTTTTGTAAAATCTCTCTCAAATAGCTAGATCTGACTTATAGTAGCTAAAACACTTTTGTTCAATTAATTTATATAATTATTTTATTAAATTCAAACTTTTGCCAATCCTAACTTAAAAATAAGTATTTTTTATCTGAGTGTACACAGGTACAAAGTGTTAATAACTTAAATTAGATTATTTTAATTGAGTTGTTTCTACCGTCCAACAATTCCAAGACCAGGTTAAGGGCACATACAAATAACCCTAGAGTTCCAACACCGTGAGCAAGTAAAATAATAATATTTGTCATTATTTATTGATCTCATCACCATTCATAGATTCACAACTGACAGTGGAATTGCATGGACATCTAGCACACCAAAACTATTTTCTAACAAAATATTGCTCCAATCAAAAAATGACAAGAGGCCTTTTTTGTTGCATTTTTAATCTTATTAGTGAGTAAAAAGGTCATTGATTTTCCAAGTCGTTTTTATTATGATTGTAAAAACCCGGAAAAAAAAAATGTAAAAGGAAAACATTCTTTGTGTTACCACAAATTAAGAGGGGATTTTATAACTAAAATAAACCTATTCCTATTTTATATCACTACATAGTACATAGTGCCCACACATATTTAACATATATTTTTGTATTTATCGTTCTCTTCTTTATTATTTGTATTACTACAAAGTGCGCACAACTATAAGATGTAGCAAGTTAACTGACATTCATAATTCTTTGAAATTATGAATCTGTGGAATTTATCTTTTTTTATTTATACCTATATCTACTGCTGTCATAATTTGTAATAATGGTGGATAGACATAGAGCAAAAGAGCTTATATGGTTTTACAATGATTATTATTATTATTTTTTCTATGGACAACTTTTCTACCACTAATTTTGTTTCGATTTTCAATGATAGCATTTTTTTCTAATATGACTGGTACTTTAGGGAAGTCATTTTTTGATTTTTCCAATAAATGGGGAAAACTTGGAAAAAACATGGGAAAACCAAAGAGAAAAAAGGTATGAAATTAAAAATTTTTTTAATGCAAATGCAATTATTTTTTACATAATATGACAAATACATTTTTGACAAAGCAACACTATAAATCGAACTCTCCTCCGAATCGGTTTTTCGTCAGCAATGGTTAAACATTGCTTACATATATACATTAAATTCCTGTCTATATTATACTTTCCCAACTTTCAACCTACTATAGTGACTGCATCCGTCCCCATTATCCTAGGACAGCTTTTTATATATTTTTTGCTCAATAGTGATATATAGGCGAAGCCAAGTGGAACAGCTATAGTATAAATAAGATCCCTTGGCTTTGATTAGGTCTCATAATATTTAATACTCCATTATGGCCTTAGTAAAAGGCAATACACACATTGTGATTTTTTGCACATGTGTTTTTTTTCTAACAGGGTAGTTGGAATTGAACGATTTGTGTAATTGGCACTAGTCTAAATATCTGAGACGCGGTCCAACTGATTAAACATATATAAATATCTCAATCTCAAGCATGCTAACTAATTTCCAAACACGGGCATATCCGGTGGCATATCAGTAGCTGATTCTGTTGATAAAAATAATACTGTTATGCAATTAATTAAATTATCTAAATAAAAAATATAATGTAAACATACCCACAGTCATTGATTGCTGTGCAAGCAGTTATAACATTAAATGGATATGTTTCTGCACTGGCTAAAATCTGAAACAAAAGTATATATATTTTGAAATAATATTAATTAGCATTATTAAATTTATTGAAGTATAAATATTTATTTTACCAAAGTAATTAAATCAATTATTTTAAAAGTCACGGGTGTAGAATCTATTAGAAAATTGACAATTGTTTCTTTTGCTACATTGATTAAAATCACAAGGTTCAAACCAGTCATGAGATATGGAATAATACTAGAATAAAGTTCACTTAAAATCCTTCTTCTCAGTTTATAAGTAGAATCCATTCTAATATTGACCTAATATTTTCAAAACAAAAATAGTTTATATTATATTTACAAGGATAAATTAATTAATTATTTTTGTACTGTAACTTACACTGAACGATGTTCATGACCTATACATTGGGCAGTCATCCTCATTGAAACAGCATGCAATGGATGGCTCAAAATTATACATGTGGCAGTATATATCATTTCTATTGATGTGTTTATTTTACAATTTCGATTCTCACAACAATTCTCTGTCTTGTGCCTTATACTAAAGTTGTTTGTACAAATAGACTCTTCCATCTTTGATTACTTGACTTATATAACACGTTCTTGGCCTGCCTCTTCCACATTTTCCTTCTATTATACCTTCCAGGATGATGCTATGTAGTTTTTCGTTGTGTCATTATAACCTATTATATGCCATCGCCTTGATCTTAAATTATTTAGCAATGTTTTTTTCTCTTTGACTAAATCTAATACTTCTTCGTTTGTCTTCATTTCCATCCATTTTTCACCAACACCACATTTATAGAGCTTCTAAAGTGGTTTCATATTTTTTGTTCGACGTTCATGTTTAACTGCCATATAATGTTGTACTTTACACATATATGTTTTAATTAAATGTTTTCTTGTTCCTATAGATCTACATTTCTGATGTTAGTAATTTACTCTGAAGTAAAAAATTATTTTTTTGCTTGCTCTATTCCACTTTTTATTTCCTTTTCTAATCTTCCATCATTATTTATTATACTACCCATATATTTAAGTTGATTTACTTGTTCTATCCTGTTTCCTTTAAGGGATATATTAATGTTTGGTTTATTTTGTTTACTACATACAATTACTTTTGGTTTTTCCATATTTATATTTAATTTAAATGTTAAAAATATGTTATCATATATTGGGCATACACTGGACATTAATAACAAGTTAATACATTTATTTTGTTTGAACTAATAACTTAATTGTTAACTTGAGGAATAAATATAAAAATTAACTTTAAATTAACTAAAGTTAATTTTATATTTAAACAAGTTGATTTTGATTTTGATTTGTATGCTCATATAAATAAATATATTATTATTAATATCAAAATACTATATAAATATTCAAATACAAATTGTTATGAATACCTGTTATTTTTTACTTTGGTTGTCGGTTGGGGATTGCAGGTAGATTATTAGGCCATTATGGTAGGTAATAAAAAATATGAACATTTTTTTTTTAATTAACTTAACTAAGGTTAAAAAGTTAATTTTAACTTTTGGTCAACTTTTAACTTAGTTGAATTGATAGATTACTTCAAATTAAATTTTAATTATTAAATTTAAATTTAACTTAACTGAGTTGAAAATATCATTAATTTGCCCAGCCTTGAATCTAGCCTACCCAGAAAAATATTTATATTTACCTATATTTATTTTTAAGTTTACAAGAAGACCTTTGCTGCTTTCGTCAAATCTCTCCATTGTTTTCGATCATTCTAATCTTCAATTCCCGTTGTTCCCAGACTTTCCAAATCTTTGTTTACTTTATTAAACCAACGCTGGTGAGACCAAGACCCACTTGGTATTCTTTGGCCATCAGACATGGCCAGTCCAGGATTTTAGCTTTCAGAACCTATACTATTGCTATTTGCTATGTTTAATGTATTTTATAGATTTCCAGCAGTGATAAACATCTTAAAAAAAATTGATGGAAATTGTTAAATTTGTTCAATTAATATTTGATTATAAAGAAATAATTAGGTATTTTTAATAATAATTAAAATTCTTCATTTATTTTAAATAAGTACAAAATATATTATATTTTTAATGCACAATATTTGTCAATACATTGAATACAAGATTTTATGAATAGTATTGTTTTACAGACACTGCGTTATGTTGAATCGCGGATTTGGATATTGGATGGGTCGGTCTATTAGTAAAAGATCTGCGTACAAATTAGGGACAAAAATGTGTACAAGTAGTGTAAACCTTATCGTCTCTACATCGTGGTGCCTATGGCTAAATATATGGTCAAATTATTTAGCCATTGTGGTACTTTCTAAACATTAAAAATAAATGACTATTGTTAAACAGTCGGCCCTATGTTCATGTTTATGATCATAAATATTATTGTCTGATAACGGTATCACATACAGCAACAACAAGCCAAATAACAATAATAATAATATACGTTTATTTTGCATTAAACATAGGTATTGACCATTTGTAAATACGCAACTAGTATTACTTGTAATTAGTATTCAATTTCATTAACTAAGTACAGTCAATTGTGAATTTATATTTCCATGTAGTTTGTTACATATTTATGCAAAACTGAGGAAAACAAAAAATGATAAAAGGTTGGTAGTTTATTTTTTTATTGGTTTACTGAGATTATTACAGTTACCTAACTAAATGAATATGTACCTAATTTACAGAAAACGCACAAACATTAAAGGCACCGGAAAAAGTGGATGACTTTTTGTCATCATTGTTTAAATCTTTGGACAGACAAAAATCTAAAGATGATCGCAAATCAATAGAAAAAAAAGTAATAATTTAATTCTTGTGTATACCTATAGGTTGAAGTGGGGTAATTGTAAATAGATTATTAATTATAGTTTTTTTTAAATTTAAATTTTAAAATTTAAAAAAAACTTAACATTTTTTTTTAAAATTAATTGTAGTTTTTTGTTCTTTGTTATTGTGGTTGAAATTAATTATTAAAATTAATAAAAATTTAAAATTTAAAAAATAAGGTTTCACAAGAAAAAATGCTACAAATGTATTTCTCAATTTTCAACTCAATATAAATTTTATAATGAACCCAAAAAAAATAAAATATTTAAACTTTTATGGAAGTAATTGTAATAGTATAAAATTGAACCTATTGAATATTATGCAATTGTAACTGAGGCAATATGAAATAAAATGATTCCTGACCATTTTAAGAGTCCCAAGTATAAATTATACATATACTTACAATCGTCTCATTTTTTATTATGTAGCCATTGGGGTAATTGTAAATAATAATTACATTCACACATTTACAATAACAAAATGCTTAGAGCAAATGTAAAGAAACACAAAATGTAATATTTTAACATAATATCTTTATTCTTATACCTCTGTATCAGTCTTTTGATATGTAATCATTCCATTATATATATTCCATCTTAATACTAATAAAAAGTCATTTCTTCAACTTCTTAATACTAATAAAACTTTAAAACAACATAGGTATTCTTAACTCTACATCAGTATTTTGATAGATAAGTATTTTACAATAAAAAATTAAGTAGGTAATTTCTTAATACTAAAATCACTTCATTTACAATGATAAAACCAGAAAATTTAATTTGTATGTTTATTTTGATATTACTGTTATAACTTTATTAAATACATACAAATTTATTTATTTAATAAAAAAAATTTCTTTAGAAAAATTATAAAAATGTTTATCGAATTTGAATAGTGAATAAGTTGATTTCTGTAATAATTCTATTTGTCTGACACACATTTTATGTTTTATTTTGTTAAAAAAAAATATATTAAATATATTCTTTTGCTGATACCTTATTCATCTTTACTAATTTGTAAATGATATTGATATTTTGCAAGCCTGCAAATAACTAATCTAAGCAACATTACATTATTTTTTTAAATCCTTATTTTTTCCTAACCCATATATAGTTTGTGTAAAATATTATTTTATGTAATGTAAATTTGACGTGTATACAGTATGTGTAAAACAAAAAATATGTGTGTAAAAATTTTAATTGACAGAATTTTATTAAAAATACTGGAAAATGAACTAAAGGAAAATATCGCTTAAAACGTAAAAAAATTACTTTAAAAATTAAAAACGTCAAAAAATGCCAAATAAAAAGTTTCATAGATGAATTTGTTCTCACATAATTCAAATTATGCATATAAAAAGCTACAATTCACAATCAGCTAAAAAAAATACACACTCCTACAGCCCTAATTGATGAACAAAAAATCAACAAAAATTGTTTGGTCATTTTGAACAATCTTTTAACTCCATCCTTCCAATTTTTTTCGTACAAATGAGGCATTAACTTTGTTTCTATCTATAATTATCTGTTTGAGTATCTTTGTCAAACCTTTTAGATGTACTTCAGGTATTTGTAACCTTTTTAAAGTTGAGAAAGATCTCTTCCACTGTAGCTGTAGATACTAGTAACCTGGTAAAAAAGTATTTTGATATTAGGGGAAAATCCACTGCAGTGTTCTAATGCTTCAACTAAAATTTGTGGATTGTTTTGAACTTTGACCCACTTATTTTTCAATAAATTTTGTTTCTGTTTTCAATTCTAAATTCGAACCCTTAATATCTTTACAATAAATGTTGGCAGATTTATAGAATCATGCCCGGCCTTAAGAAAAATACATGTGTATGTGTATAATATTTATTTGAACTAAATAGCAACATGTCAAGGGGGGGGGGGTGCTAAATCACCCTAGCACCTCCTTTAGAGCACCTTAACACCATACCTGAACACAGTTTGTAATTGTAAGCTAAGAATTTCTATTCTGTCAAAAATTCTAATTGTAACAATTAATAATAAAAAAATCAACCCTGCAGCCCCTGTATACTTGACGCCTACTTTACTTCTTGGACTAAAACAATTGGAAAAAGTATTTTCCGGATCATTAAAAAATAAAACTTCCAGTCTGATACCTAAGAAAGATGTTTAAAGACTTTTTAATAGTGAAGAATGTTTGAGTTCCTCTAAATTTTGATTTACTGTAACACTATTTCAGGATAATGTTCATTATTTAATGTTGTATTATTTTCTTCAGAATTTTCATTATGCAGATTTGTATAGTAGTTTTCTAAGTCAATGGAATCAAATTCACTCTCAGGAAATTTAGTTTTATCATGATAATATAAATCAATTGATATTCTCGACACTGTGTTATCATGTTTCATCAATGTTGACCAAAGTGTTCCAAGAATTTCAAAAAATTTACAATTTAGTAATCTACCAATACTTTTTCCTACCATTTTCTTGCCAAATTTGTTCCATTTTGTTTTTAAATGCCCAAAAATATTTGTCTAATGGTTATAGTCTGTCAGTAAGATGACTAGAAAATTTTAATTAAAATATATTTTTTTTCAATTGCCAAATTTAAAATACGCAAACTTATATAAGAACAATAATTATCAAATAATAAAACAACGGTTTGGTTGGGTTTATTTTTTGAAATTCTTAATGTTCCAATATTTCTAATAAACCGTCTCAAACCAATAGTCTTAACTTTAACTTTAAAATTTTACTAAAATTTATTTTGTTCAATAAATTTTAGTAAAATTTTTAGTAGATTTTTATCTAATAACATACTGATAGAAAAAAAAATTATAAAAATTAAAATAGTTTAATTTAATAATATTAAGATTACTGATATTAACTTAATTGTCCAGTATGTAAAAGTCATGTTTTTTTTATTTTTATTTTCTTAAGGTAGTTGTTCGAAGATTACCTCCAACAATGACAGAAGAACGATTTCTCAATGAAGTATCTCCGTTGCCAGAAAATAATTACATGTATTTTATACCTGGTGATCCACAAGCAGCACCATTTCATCATTCAAGAGTATATATTAGTTTTTTGAACGAAGAAGATATGTATATGTTTACTGATAAATTTGATGGTTATGTTTTTGTGGATGACTCTGGTAATGAACATATTTTCATAAAAATAATTTAAATTAATTTTTGGTACTTTTATAGGGGATGAGTTTCCTGCTATTGTGGAACTAGCGCCTTACCAGAGAATACCAAAAAAGAAATTAGATAAAGATCCAAATTGGGGTAAGATCCATGAGAATCTTGCGTTCTTGGAATTTAAACGCAATTTTGAGCAGAAGACTATTGATACCACATTAAAAACTACCCAACATTTTTTTGAATCTGTTGAAGGTAAATTTGTAATTGAGACTTTTTGTATGTTTATATTTGTTTTTAAGTGTATCTCTTTTATTAGATAAAAATCAAGAACGGGACTTAAGTACCCCATTACTTGAATACTTAGCAAAACAAAATGATAAGCAACGTACACGGGTAAATCAAAGAGACGAACGCCGTAAAAAAGTATTTATCAGAAAACAAGAAAAAGAGGAAGTTCGACGAAATAACAGGAAAACAGATAAAGAAATTTTCATAAAACCTAAACCAATTAGTAAAAAAATAATTGAAGAAAAACCAATAAAGGACACAATCCAAAAGTACAAAGATTTAAGTTTTTACTAGTAATAAATTATCTTATTAATATAAATAGTTTCATCGATCAAATAAATTATTAGGTATGAGGTGTAACAGTAAAATTGCACGTCTTAATCCCATTGATGACCAGGGCTAAGAACTTAATAATTTAAAAACGTTCAAATATCTCATATCTCAAAGAAGTTAAAATAAGCTTTATGGATAAAAAATGGACATACTTCGCACAACGGGTGGGCCACTGTTATAGTTGGGAAAGTAGGATATAAAGAGGAATTTAATTTATATTGGTACATATTTATATATTTGATAAACCATTTTTAACGAGAAAACGATTCTGAATGAAATTTGATTGTACATGTTTAAAAGGTCGTAATATTTAAATATTAAAATATTTATTTATTAATATTTAAGTATTAAAATATTTATTCAATAATATTTTTTATGGGACAAGTTCTTTAAATACAGGAACATATAATATTTAATAATAATCTAGAACAACTGCATTAATATACACTCAAACATTATACAGTTAGAATATTGGTATCAGAAAACAAATTGATATTGAATTAGGATTCTCTTACATACTTCCCAAACAAATATACATTTGTTTCCTGAACACTGGTTGTGATATTATCAATTACCCCAACATTTAGTCATGATCCTTGACTATAATCTATGTATTTTAAAAAGGTGTACAAACAGATTAATATTAATTAATATGGATGGATTACGATATAATATTGTAGACCCTATTAATAAAGGTTTGATTAACGTAACATACCAATTTAAATTAAGAACAGAGTAATACTTGTCTACAACATTTTTAACTATCACACGCAACTATACACTATTCATTTTCTTTCTCGTAGATCTCTTTACCATGGCATATATGATTGATGACCATAATCCGTGATTTTAATTTGGGGATTAATGTAGTTATTATAGTAAATATTATCAAAAATTGTATTACACAAAATGAATATTCCTTTTATTATTAATAAAATGATTGCAATTTGATTAGTACTTATAGAAGGAATTGTGTATCACAAAATTCAAAACTGTGTGGTTTGAGTTCTGCTGTACACAATTTAGCTAGTACCTTAATAGAACTACCATTCATATTAATAGCAAAGTGTTATACATGTAATAACATGGAGATTAATAAATTTATAATTATAATAATACTGTTATTTTTTTATTTTTAGAAAAATTCTTAAAAATCACAGAGAAGATTCAGAATTTGTTGATGAGAAAAAAACTAATATTGATGAAACTAATAAAACAAAAAATGAAGACCCTCCTAAAGAAAATGAATTTAAAAAAATAGAATTTAAATTAAAAACAAACAAGTTGAATAATACAAATAAATGTTTTAATAGTGATTTAAAAGATGAAATTCCGCCAAAAGTTGATAAAATGTGTATAGATGAATCTAAAGAAGTTGTAGAAATTAAAAAGAAATTCGAAAAATTAAAACTAGAACAATTAGAAAAAAAAGCTACTGAAGCTTTGAAAAACATGAAACTCTACGAAGATAAAGAGAGTGTTGATACTAGTGAAAATGATAACTATAAAAAACATCGATCTGATACAGACAAAAAATGTTCTTATCACAAAAAAATAGAAAATCGCCATCAGGAATCTAAAACTGATCGCCGAATAAGAAATAAGGATCGTCCAGCTATAGAAATTTACAGACCAGGAATGGGCAGGTTGAGTAAGTTAAAATCTGATAATGATTGTGTTGATTCTGAACTAAAAAAGTAGCATAGTAACATTTAAGTAATTTAAAATGTGAAATGTTTGTTTTGTGATTAAATTTTAAGTTAATTTTCTGTAATCAAAAACAAATTAATTATATTGTTCTTAAATACATTTTACTTTTCAAATACTTATTTTTTTTTTGATTACACAAGGTTTATGATTATCTATTTAATCAGTGTTCATTCACAAATAGTACTACCAATTAAAAAATAAAATAAATAAAAACGACATGTAATTTTATGTTAAGTATAATGATATTTTTTCAATTATGTTAATTAAAGTACAAATAATATTATGTTATTTACTATTTTTTATTGAAGTGTGTATTTCATATTTAAATTATCATATTTACTAAACATATTTCTAAGTATTAGGTACTATAATTAAAAGCTCTGTGCAATAACTAAACAAGTCCACTATTTAAAAAAAAAAAAATTTTTTGCAATTTAGAATACAGATTTTTATTTTTTAATTCTGTGCAAGAACAATGTCAATCTGATTGATACATACAAAGATGTAAACAAGATTAATTTGTCTGAATTAACATTTTAGGTGCAAAAACCAGACAAACCAAAACTAATTTTTTTTTTAACAACTTTAATCAGATAAATTGTTTGGTTATTGCATTAAAGCCCTTCAATTAATCATGTATTTTGTGATATTTTTTTATCATGTAAACAATCTATTTTTTAGTTAGAACATTTTTAATTCATCATAATGTTGTACATATATTGAACAAATCACTTATTTGAAAAGTTGTAAACTATAATTTATTTATAAATTAATAAAATAGTTCAATTGAAATTTAGGAAATAATGTTTCTTTCTTCCGCAAGTGCGGAATACCTAAATAATTACCTTATAATGTATTATTATTGTAATATTATTCTTATAATAATTAGCTATATGCTGTGCTTTTATTTAACTTACTAATATAGTTTACCAACATTGATTAAAAAAAACTATATATATATATATATTATAACATGTAAATTTAATGTAAAAAATGGCAATTCAATAAATATTTATCCTGTGGGTGTGATTTGTATTTTGGAAACCGCGTGTATGGTAGAAGCAATGATTATATTATAATCCGTGGTAGAGGGTAAACAAGCTCTACTCAAATTAGTATTATTTTTATGATGATTTATCTTTTCAGTCTGGATTTAATCAAACTTAGGTACCTATTAACTTATTTAGTTAGTCATAACTCGTGAGGTAGTGATGCTGACTATTTCTGAGTATTATGACTGGCATAGTCAAAGTAATGGATGAGTGATATAAGGTGTAGTAATAAAATGCAGTTGACTAGATAACTAAATATTTTAGTGTAAAAAGACAAATATTGAAGTATACTTAGATTGTAGAGATAAAATTTGATTAAAAAGTGCTCATATATATTGATAAATTTATGTATGTAGTACAAGCAAGGTAATTATAACTATCTTGAGTACAAGATTAAGTGGGGCCTAAACAAATTTCACTCTAATTTATTTCAATTAAATATTCAAAAATCAAATATATTTTAGATTCTGAGTGGAGCAAATAATTTAATGGTTTTATAAAGATTTTATTTAATGTATAATATTATTTTTAATTTTGTTTTTTGTTGTTATTTAGTTGAAAAAATATTCGTAGAGACTTGAAATTTTGACAGAAAACTTATATTTAACTTTTCTTTATATGGTAACATTTTTGAGCAATTTATAGACATTTTAATTTTGCAAGTTTTGTACGTAATTTTTATTTGGTACTCTATAGATAAAATTGTTAGACCAAACAGAAATGCTTAAAAATTTAACATGAGATTCATTAAAAGTCGTACTCTGTGATAAAAAAAAATTGTTGAGCAGAAGCTAATTATTGGCTTATCACTTAAATATTTACCTAAATAAAAATAATATGGAAATTATTATTGGTTATCTAATTTCTATTAATTATTATTATACCTTATTATTTTTGTTATTCATATTATCATTATTTTTAATTATTATTTATTTAATGTGAAAAAAATAAATTTAAATCTTAAAGAGTAATGTTTTACTGTATTAATACTCTACACTCTTCTAAACTAAGTTAAAATCAGACTAGGTTTTTATTGACAAAAGCAGTGGTATTCAAAAGTAAAAATTGCTCGCCCCCCCCCCTGAAATTGACCCGAAGTCGCTCCTGAGCACTACTATTAACTGAGCTTCGCTCAGAATCGTTTCTTGTTGGTAATGCTTAAATTTGCTTAGGTACAAATATACATTAAATTTCCCTCAATATCCTACCTTCCTAACTTTTCTATTACAGTGGTCCATCCATTGTGTGAAGTAAGTCCTTTTTTTTTCTAACCAATCATTAATATTAAATTTAATGATCGCCCCCCATAGTCAAGGTCTGGAGACGTCCCTGAATATTATAGTTAATAATAATATAACTTTGATTAGTGAAAAATAATATGTAAATAATTTTCTTTTTACTTATTTCTCATGTGTCAAAAAAAATATATTGTGTATACATGGGTTTTTTGTCTTGTTCTCGTATAAAACGTATCTCATAGTTTTGCAAACTAAAATAACTATTTAATTGTTTATTAATGCAAAAAAAATAATATTGTTATCGATTTTTAGTTTGAAGGAAAGAAACTAGGTCACGTCGCATGTGGGTGCAGCCATAGAAAAGAGATAAGGGAATAAATAGGTGCAGTAACTGTTGTAGGTGAAAAGTTGGGAAGGTAGTAAGGGTAGTCGGGGAGAAATTTAATGTATATCTGTAAGCAACGATAAACCATTACTAACGAAAAGACCATTTCGAATGGAGTTCTTTATTTTTTATAGGAGTTGGCGGTCTCGTGTAATGTACTGCGGTCGACGTTAGAGTTCGAAGAGTTCGTTACAACTCTTAATTTTTGCGCTGCGACTATGTTTATTGTCAAACTTATAAGTTATAATCAAAATTGTTAAACTTCTGACAAAACAACTGATTAATTATTAATTTCCAAGCCCCTCTCTCTATCGAAATATTGATTTCCCCACTGGATACTACTGTACTAGATATTTAACAAATATCTATCATTAAAATTCTAATTGGATAATATCCGCATCGTGATTTTATAGTTTTGGCGCCGAAAATTAATATAATCTCTTAGGTTTTTCTCAATTCATTATGTGTATTGTTCCTAGCCTGTAGCACCGACGCGCCGCCATTGTTCAATTATGTTGGCAGACCTTCGTGCTTACGTGTACATTCGTTTACAATACCTTATAATTATATGGTAGAATTTTGATACGGAATTTTCATAGTGGGGCAAATATTGAGCCTAAAGCGCTATCTTTTAATAACGCTTTACCAATGTAAAATGTAACGGCAGCGTTCGTGCGTCAGTAAATTGTATAGGTTTTGTTAGTTCAACAAAACGCCGCTAAAATCGTTGTAGATGATATATTTTCCGTATCCCCGACCACCCATATTTTAGTTGATCGAATGATGATTTGCATTTTTGCTGCGAGGCCCGTAGGGTGACTAAGAAACAGAATCCATTGTCAAACAACACCCGAACGACTCCATTGCCAGTTCTACTTGTTTCATTTAGCGTACGTCGTTTCGCCCTTCACCACTTTTGTTTTTAGTGTTTCACGTTGTCACACCGTTACTTTACAAAATGGACAAATATCCTGCCGCTAATTCAGGACAACAAGGTATTATTATATTATATTAATATTTTCAGCCTATATGATTTGAGTACGTTTGATTATGATTTAATTTTTATTGTTTTATTATAGATGGTTCAAGCAAAAACAAGAACAAAAGGAAGAGTGAGTATAATAACCCTATTCGAGTTTAATTTCATTTATTATTTACCTAAATAAATATACGTACACATTTCGGTACATTATAGTTGGTTTTGAGAAACGGGAAAAACATCGTGTATAAGATTTCCCCTTTGTCTAAAAAAGCACGGGCGTCCATTTTGTTTACGTTCAACATACTACCTATCTACTTTATTTTTTTTTTTTATCAAAATTTATTTTAGTTATACGAACGTATTTGAACTATTGTTGCTCATTTTTATTTTATTTTAAATTTCATGATATTGGGTATATCGAGTCTGTGTTTAAAGCCGCCAAGTTAGGTTAACCCGTCCTCCATAATTGTGATCTATTTTATACATATACAGGGTGTTTTTTTTATCATAAACCAGTAATTATTTCAGTTTTGTAGGTTAATTTGATTTCTATTTTTTTTTAATCATGTAGAATCACTTAAGCTTTATTTTAAAACTATTTTTAATTGTTTACCCCTACTTCATATACCTTGAATAAATACATACTTTTAATTTTCTCTTTTGAACACAGAATTAAATAGAAAATATTTTTTTAGATATTTTGATGTGCATAACACTAATATCAGATTTACTGTTTATGAGGTATAATAGTTTAGACCAAAGAGTAGAGAACGGTTATATGTAAGGACTAGATTTTGCATATAATGCATGTTTTTATTGTCATAGGCAATTACACGCAGTAAATGGATTTTCATTGATCATACTTAAAATAAATAATATTGCATATTTTTCATAAAAACTCATGTTTTGCATATTACATGTTTTAATTAATTTTTTAATTGTATGTACAATTATTATATTTAAGTTTGTTCCACCACACAAAAATTGAAAATGTTTTTAAAAATAGTATAATTATTATGTTTCTGTAGATTGTTACTTAGTAGGTAGGTACCTAATTCATTACAGATTGGTTTTCCTATTGTATATTTTTATCTTGTCTACTTTGTCTAACATCGCCAATACTATAAACCATGGCTGACAGTTTGACAATTCTAGTTCGAAGTATTCATAGGCCATAGTCAACGTATTATAAAAACGTGTCCATTTTATATAAAATTGTATTTGTTACTATACAATGTTATACAAGTGTCCATGTCTTTTTTTTCATCATTAATGTTTTGATTTTATAATTTTACAATAAATAATTAGCTGCAATAATAAAAATAATTTCACACATTATAAAATTTTAAATGCATATAAATCCAGTCTTTAGTTATAGATATGCAATTTATTACCCATCAGTTATAACTGACTGACCTTTTCGTCTGTTCTGATCGACTTTAATATATTATCGGTTGGCTTGGTTGAAGTCTAGGTAGTGGTGGATACCATCATTGTTATCTCCTTGTGGCGCATTGTCCTTAGCTGTACATGTTTTACATATGGCCCATCAAAACGTGTGTCGTCCACTGTTGCACATTAGTTGTATCTAAAAATTAATTTATATTAACAATTTTATTTGTATGAATAACCAGTCTATAACACAATAGACATCAGGAAATTTATTATTTCTGTGTGATTTTTCATAGGTGTTACTAAATTATTTTCTTTATTACGTATATAATTACACTATATATTTTCATTTCTTGTATAGTTTTATAATAGTTATTAATATTAGGAAAATATGGCGATACATTTAAATTTGTATTTTTATTATTTTTGTGCTCGCATATAACCTTATGAGATAGCTAATAATATTATAGTTCACAATTTTTTTGGTTTTAATTATTTTTATTTTGTTTGTAAAACATACTTATACATATTTTACTATTAATTATTATACATTTTTGACTTTGTAATTTTTTTTTTTTAATAATTTGGAAAACTAAAATATTTCTGCATTATGATTTTTGAAAACATTTAAAGTTCAAATTATGAAAGTATTAGAAATAATTGTTTTTTTTTAAATACTCTGTAGTGTCATATGTTTTTTATAATATTTGTACACAATTTATTGTTCCAAATATTATAATAATAAAAACTAAATTACCCTATTTATTATATTGCCTCACCTAAACGGGTACTTTTTGGTTACTTCCGAAGATTTTCTGGTATCGTTATTCGGTTATCGTAACTATAGTATTGGCGGTGAGAGAACGCTACTGGGCGGTGTCCAAAACTTGTTGTTCGTGCTCATGTATTCCTACGGCGAATAGATAGCAGAGTGGAAAAAATTTGAATATGAAACCATAGCTTGTTTATTCAAGGAGTATCGTTTTCTCACCGGCTGGACTATACCAATGATAGTTAAAATATAATATAATTTACAAATAAATTAGGTCATCGCAACTATATATTTATATATATATATATTTATAAGTTATTCCATAAATCTTTTCGAAAAGATGGATGTAATAATATATATTCTATAAAATATACCATTATCACAATTCACTTCACTAGTTTACTGCCGATCTTGTAAGTATAGAGAGTGATATTATATTATAGTTTAACTATTGTTGGTAGTGCGATATCGGAAAATTGTCTGTAGTCAAGATAATCAAAAAGTACCTCTAAACATTTTTGCTACTTTTGTATTATTAGTATGTTTACAGTGATTATTGATACTTTTATAACTTGTTATTTATCTGTTTTTAGATCGACAAGGTGGCTCCAAAGATCAACCGCAACAAGGTAAGTCAGAATATACTATTGATCCAATACAACAACAAAAAAGATAAATAAATGAGTTTATATTTAACAAATTATCAAGTTCACCTATTTATTTGAATTCTTTAAAACCTTTAAACTTAATATTATATTTTTTATTATTAAGATTCTTGTCCTTAAAAATGCTCAGAATATTGAATACCTTTATACTCTTCCTTTTTATAGATACAAGTAAATATTAATAACATATATTAAAAGGATAATTTGTATAAAATATTTTTTAATTAATAAGTATTTGAGTTACAAGTTTCAATATAATGATTGTATATCAATATAGTGATTATTGATACTTTTATAACTTGTTATTTATCTGTTTTTAGATCGACAAGGTGGCCCCAAAGATCAACTGCAACAAGGTAAGTCGGAATATACTATTGATCCAATACAACAACAAAAGAGATAAATAAATGAGTTTATATTTAACAAATTATCAAGTTCATCTATTTATTTGCATTCTTTAAAACCTTTAAACTTTATATTATATTTTTTATTGTAAAGATTCTTGTCCTTAAAAATGCTCAGAATATTGAATACCTTTATAACTCTTCTTTTTTATAGATACAAGTATAATAGATATTAATAACATATTAAAAGGATAATTTGTATAAAATATTTTTTAATTAATAAGTATTTGAGTGTTACAAATTTCAATATAATGATTGGACCTATTGCAAAAATATTAATTTTTACAATTTTAGAATATGTGTCGGAAATTTGGAATGGTTTTAAAATAATTAATTTTATCACTAACTAAAATGCTGTAGTTGTTTTTATAATTAAATTTAACACTTTAAATGGGGGCATAATAAAATAGGTTTATTACATGGTTATGAAAATCAAAAAAATGTTATTCATACTGTTATATTGTTATATAATACACTGATAACAGTACCATATGTTTAAATGCAAATATTCACTAAAGATAAAGTTTCAATATACCCAGTTATTATCAATAAACACATTTAGTATAACTAATCAAAAACATTTCATAATAGTAATATATTATAAATTATCTACTGTTTTATCTGATTATAAGATACAATTGTATATTAATCTTTGTTAATATTTATTTAATACCTTAAAAAGGTAGTGGAAGCAATTTCCCAACCGGGTCATCTGTCCAAAATCCAGCACAACAGCAACCAAAGGAGAAAAAACCAACCAATGATTTTCCGCAATTAGGACGGCAATCTAAGGAGCCAAAGCCAGCTAAGGGTTCTGATAATTCTCAAAAGCAACAACCACAAAGTATAAATTAACCTTGATATTTTTAGTTGGATGGTTTTTTATATGAGTATTGTTATATATCTTAATATAGGTAAGAATGGTTCTCAAATACCACCAAATGCGACTCAAGCGAAACAGCATCAGCAAAAGCCAACTAAAGTTCCTGAAAAACAATTGAAAGGTAAGGAAAAAATTAGACAAACAAAAATAATATAATATAATAAATTTTATTGTGTCAGCCAAATATAAAATGCAAATAAGTAAAAACCTGAATATAGGTGGACACTTTTCTGTTGTGGTGTTAGGTCTAACAAGACCTAAAGCAACATTAAAGAAAAAAACCTTAAATTGCTTTGCACATAAGTTCAGAAAATATGAAGTTTTTATAAAATTATATGTATTTATTTCTTCAATAGACTATAAAATAATATTAATTTAAACACATGTTTATTGCAGTTGAACAACCTGTTTCTTCAAAACCAAAAATTCCAGAGAAAATGCAAATGAAACCAAGTATTTAAAATATTTTTATTTCGTGTGCATTTAAAAATTCAAAATTCTATATTTGTTTAATTTTATGTCATTTATTTTAAGCTGGTAACCAACAAATTGATCAACAAATTGAAATATTAAGAAGCAAATTAGTTATTCCGAAACGTAAAAATCCAAAAGTTGGAGGCAAATTAGGACGTCAAACTGAATTAGATGTGAACCATCTTCCTCTAAACCTTGACAAATTGTTCAAAAAAACTGTTTATCATATTGATTGTCAATTTACTCCAGAATTACCCAAACGACTTCTTAGGTAACTATACTGTGTTTATGATAAACTAAACTAGATTTGTATATATATAACAACTGTTCATTATTATTTTTTTTTATTGACAATTTATAATAAACATTTGTATTAACTTTTAGGACTGCATTGGAACAATTTGTTGAAAAACATTATCGAGGCACCCATTTTGCATTTGACGGAAGAAGAAACATGTATACTACAAAAGAATTGAAAGGGGTATAATAAATTTATTTACTGTATAAGAAGTATTACTACTTAAATAATTTTAATAACTAACTCTTATATAAAAAAATAAATAACAATATTTTGTTAGTTTTATGGAAAAACCTTTGCTAGATAAAATATTAGTTTTCTTTATCACAGTTATTCGAAAAAAAAATTGTTGACTTTGGTTCCAAGTCGTTTTGACATGAAGCCAATAATATATATACAAATTTGGACAGTAGTGGAACATTTGAATCATCTTAAAAAGCTTTAATTATCTTAAATTTTATTATTTTTGGTTTCATTTATGAAATAAATTAATTTTATCAATTAACAAGTGTTTATTAACTAATATATTATTTACAGAGAAGTGATTTAGTCACTGTTCTAAATGAAGAAAATGGTAGGTCTATGGACTTCACCATTGTTACATCAGTTGTTAATCAAATAAATATGAGTAAGATTGAAGAATATTTGAAAAGTGGATCATCTAATTGTCCTCCTGGAGAAGCGTTTCAAGCATTAGATATTGTTTTAAAAAACAGACCATTTTCATTAAGGTTAGTAATCTCTAAATCTAGTAATAATGATATTATGATGGATAATACAGATATTATCCAACATAAAAAAAAAATGGTTGTAATCAGATTTTTTTACAATATAATAGTGTGGACCATGAAAATGATGTTCCATTGGGAAATCTCTTGATTCTTAATGAAGATAATTAAATACTGTTTTGTTTTTTTTTCTACATGATTCACGGATCTAATGATTGAATATATTCATATTTAAATTAGATTTTTATTTTGGTGAAGATAAAAAGAAAATGACTATTTTATTATTTTCAAAAAATTTAAATATACATTTCTGAAATTAATTATTAATGCCTTTTATTTAATTTATTTAATTATTATGTATATATTAATGGTTTTAAAATTTGTCATGTAGCTAGTTGGTAATCTCTAATTGACTTCATACCTATTTCCCCTGAACCGATAAAAATCATGAAAATTATTTGAAATATAAATATTTTTAGAAAAATAAATAATGTAAAATAATAATATACATATTTACCAAAACAACAATTTAACAAAATCTGAATATTAGCAGTCCTTGAACAGATTTTGATTATCTTTTTTATACCATATATTATATAATTATTAGATGATTAAATACTGTGAATAACAGCTGATTTATTTTTGGCTTTTTACACACTTGTAAAATACATGTAATTTATTAGTGAGTATACATATTAATGTTGTTAGTTTAAGTAAATGAATTTGGTTAAACATTTTAAAAGTATTTTTATAATGAGATGAAATCGTATTTCAGGTTTACTAATGTCGGTAGGTCATTTTTCCCTGTTCCACGTATGACACCAGTTGACTTAGGTGAAGGCATGGAACTTTGGAAAGGATTTTTCCAAAGCCCTGTTATGGGTTGGAAACCTTATTTAAACGTAGACGGTAAATATAACATAATATTATTAATAATTAATATCACTAAAGACATACTACTTTTCGGTTGTATAAATTAAATTAACCTATATTATTGAAACATGTCATCTTTTTACCGTGAGTGCAGTTTCTGATTTACCAACAACACATTTGTGGTAAAAAAATTTCATATTATTTTTGATGTAAAATGGTATATATTTATAAATTTTCACAAATATTGTGTATCTTCTATATTTAAGAAGTTGAAAGACTAAAATTATAAAATACAAAATTACACTAGTAAATGAATAATATACGAGAAGTAATGTTTCAATAGGCATATTGTAGGTCTTTTAATAATTAAATACTACTTATTAGGTTGTAATAGTAATAGTAATAGTCTACACTATTACTCTTGTACATCCATAATATTATAGATTTTCATAAACTTTTACACTAATTCCCGACTAGGATGTCAGTAACATTATTATTCACATAAGTTAATTTTAGATTCTAAGCTAACCAAATAATATTTTAGTTCTACTGTTTTTTCTATTAACTTTTGCTCTCCAATCAACAACTGCAGTTTGTTTCTGTCAAAAATATTGTGCTTAATATTGGCTTAGGCTTCATATAATATCTGCTTTAAATTATCTATGAATACAACTTCCAACCATAATAGTGTATAATCTGCGCTTTAATGTTATGTTTTAAGTAATTTTATTTCATTTTTTAGTCGCACACAAGGGCTTTCCAAAACATCAACCATTGACCTCTTATATTAATAATGAATTGAACTGTTCTCTTGATACAGAACTAGATTATAGATCTCTTAACACATTAGCAAGTTATGTTAAAGGATTAAAAATTGATTTTATGGTTCCAAATCAGCCTAATACTAAACGATCATATAAGGTCGTTGGTCTTCTTGAAAGTGCGTCAAAATTTGTGTAAGTATTTTATACTGGTATTAGTTTAATGAATAACTTTTTTTTTTTGAAACTAAGAAAATCAAAATATCTAGTTTTCCTATTTCGCTAGAATAATTAATCTTAATTCTATAAGCTTATCCAAAATAATTCAACACGGCTGGCTTTTATAAATACCACATTAGTTTGTCATATGGTATTCTCGCAGGATTAGATATCAAAAATTAAAGAAAACTATTATGTATAAGTAAATATTTACTTGAAAATAAAAACCTTTTTGATTGGTTATTGATCTTGAATAGTCTTGGACTAAATAAGAGGATAAAGAATTTATTTTACTAATTATTCCGCGTTATATATTTTATACATTACCAAGCTTGTTGATCTAACAAGTATATTGGTATCAATTAAATCATCAAGATAACAATTAACACTTTAAACTTCTGAAGCTTATGTTGTATTAATTCAAATGATTTTGAAAATAAAACAAATAATATGTCAAATAAGATTTTAATGAAAATTCTTTTGTTTAGATTTGAAATGGATGATGGGAATAAAGATGCTCCTAAGTCAAAACCAAAAATGCTTTCTGTTTTTCAATATTTCAAAATTACTAGAAATTATACTATTAAGTATCCAAATTTACCTTGTTTACATGTTGGTAATGTTAACAAAAAGACAGCAATTCCAATTGAAGTAAATATTAACCCTATTATTTATAACATGTCATGATTACATCTATTTTTATAAATTTGTGTTACAATATCTGTGCTTAGTGTGTTTTAATTGTTTAGTGATTATATTTATTGTTGGTTTATTACTGGTCAATTTTGCTAACAAAAGTTTAATAGATTGTGTAACTGTTTATGTCCCTTTTTGAACTGTTAAAAAGTGTAATATTTAGATAATTTTTTTTAGTCTAGTTTATGATGTCACATCATTATTAAATTTAGGAATAACTTTTTATTAAGAAATTCTTACAAAAAAATACTATATTATAATTAACTTTTACATAAATTAAATTATTATCATTAATAGAATATACTAAAAAGAAAAAAACCAGGAAAAATGTAAAATTGATTATTTTTCAAAAATTTCAATTTTGATAGTATTATGAAATATTTTATTAACCATTATAAAAAAATTTTATAGTTTGACAATTCAGTAACCAGAATATATATCTGTAATTTTTTAATCATTAAACTGTTCCAACCCCAAAAGTTAATAATTGAATATTGCTTGCTATAATAAAGAATATATATTTTTTAATTGGAATATTCTTTTGTGTCCATTTTAGTTGTGTACTGTCCAAAAGGGACAATTAAGGATGAAAAAATTAACCGAAAATCAAACTGCACAAATGGTGAAAAACGCAGCTCGACCACCCACTGAACGGCGACAAACTATTGAAAATTGTATAAAAGACATTAAATACAATCAAGACCCAGTATTGAGAGAATTTGGTATTGATGTCCATGAACATTTTGCCACTATTCCAGGAAGAGTTCTGGATCAACCTTCTTTAGCATATTACCAAAATAAGGTATGCTTTAATTGTTTTTTTTTACATTTCTTCTTTACTTCACATTATAGTGTAGCAAAGAGATAAAAACAAATTTTTATTATAATCATTTTACTTAAAGAATTCTGTTTTTAGATATAAAATTATTATTTAACCATCATTATTATATTTAATATGACTTTACAAAAGTAACAAATTATTATATAAAATCATATATTGTTAGACATCTTTATGGTATTGATATCCATTTTAGTATAAATTTGTTAAAATTTATTAATGCTTATATAATTTTGATCAAAAAATTTAAAAAAAGCTCTCGTTTTATAACTATTATTTTTTATTACAGGAAACTAAGCCCAAGGCCGGTGTTTGGAGAGCTGATAAATTTTCTAAGGCTGTTAAACTTACCAGATGGATTGTACTTAACTTGGATGTCCGGACGAACATCTCAAGTATAAAGTAAGTCAAATAATTGTTCCATTTTAAATAATTTGATATAACTTTTGAGACCTCATTTGAAACAAGAATAGTCATGTATTGTAATTTATACATTAGTCATAATCAGATACATATACATCAAATATTAATATATTTTAAACTTATTGTCATAGAAATCAAATAATTTAATTATGTACAACAAATGTATGAGTAGCATACAAATAATAAAAACTATTATTATTCTAAACAAAATTTAATATTTATTAAAGATTAGTGATATAAAACAATACTTAGGTTTTGTTAAAATCGCACAAATAAAATGATTATAAATTAATAAATTGCACGGAATGGTGCGTATTTTATTTTTGACACTATATTATATTAACTTAGTAGTTCAAAACTTGTCTTTAATGTTAGCCTTTTTCGAAGAATACCTATGATTGCCAATAAGATAAAAATAGAAAATAAATAAGTGCTAAACTGTTTGCTTAAATGTTTATAAAATATTTCTATAATTTTATTATATTCTAGAAATTTTGAGAGGATGATAATACAAAGCGGCCGAGATTTAAATGTTATGGTAAATCCAATGGATCCTGTCTTCTCTATGACTTTACAAAAACATATACGTATTGATTCCATTGAAAAAGATGTTCAGAACTTCTTGAATAGAGCAAAAAAATTTGTGCCCCCAATGGAACTAGTAGTGGTGATTATTCCAGATTATCCACAAGGAATATATGGTAAATAATAATAATGCAAATATTTACTATACATTTTAGATTCTAAGTGACGCAAGGAATATATTAGTTTTACAGTGATAGCACCTTAACTAAAAAAGAAATCTTGACTGAGGAGATACTTCAGACCTCCACTAGTCGTTTTTTGATCTTTCCAGGTTTCCCAATAAATGTGGAAAATAGGAACAAATATTATTAAAGAAAATATTTTATTCTTATTTAATTACTTTACCATAAAATGACATATATACATTGTTGATAAAGCAACATGATCAACCAATCTGTTCAGAATTGTTAATTTCGTTGGCATTAGCTTATCGTTGCATACAGATATTTGTTAAAATTCTGTCAACAGTGACTGCACCCCATTATCATAGGACAGCAGTTTAAATCATCATTTAAGATTTATATTTCCTTAAAGCATTTTTTGTTTGATTAAATTATTAATGTATTTTTATAATCATTAAAGCATTTTAATTTTAATTTTGAATAATTATTTTATAACCCAATTTATTATATTTGTATTTGTTTAGCTGCTATTAAACAAGCTTCAGAATTGCAAGTCGGTATGCTCACCCAATGCATTAAATCTAAGACTATGTTTAAAATGAATCCTGCTACAGCTAGTAATATCTTATTGAAAATAAATTCAAAATTAAACGGAATCAATCATACTTTGTCTGCGAGTAGCTGGTAATATTTTTATTTATTTTTTTAATTTTATTTTAAATCTAAAAATTACTTTTGATTATACAACACTGTACAAATAACAATATTTCATAAGTTGTGTATTGTTTGAAAAAAAAATTCTTATTTATGAGAAATAATTTTTAAAATAACCAAACATCAAAATGAAGTTATTATTAACTTGTTATTTTTAATTCAGAGAAAAAGTGTACAATCAATAGCTATAATAATAATAATCAATCAGCAAATACGATTACAGTGCATTATAATATGTACTTTTCTATAAACTTAAAAAATTATGAAAAAATAGTTAAAACTGTCAACATTTTTAAAGGAATAATTATTTGAAATATATATTCAAGTTTTTCAAAACTAATAAAATGAAATTATTTATTCAAGTTTTTTTTACCAAAACCTAAAAAATATTTATTTGCAGTCTTAATCCCTGCGATTAATTTAAAAAAAAAAAATAATAAGTAGAATTTGATTATCAGAATATATTGCAATGAGTATATTTTCATGGGATCCTGTATATGTTACAGTTAATTTTGAAAATTGTACAGAGTTAAATTTTAGTTATGTAGAACCAATTTTGTGTTTTTATAATTTTAGTTCTACCTTTAAATTTGATTATAAACTAATTTTCTGTAATATTAAAACTAACAGCACTAAATCGAATCTACTGAATATAAAATTAATATAAGCTATAATTTATTTATATATATATATATATATATACACACATTTTTAACTATTATAATTGTGTTTAGCCCTAACAGTATGAAAGGTGCGATTATTTTTGGAGCAGACGTCACTCATCCATCTCCAGATCAAACTACTGTTCCTTCGGTTGCTGCTGTGAGTATATTTCAACAATTAGAATTATTAAATTATTTTATTTATTGAATAAACATTTGGTGTCTTAGTAAAATCAGCCCTATTATTGTAGTTGGCAATAATCTTTATTTTTAATCGGTATTATTTTCTCGTCAACGATTTTTATATGGGTTTTGGATACGGGAAATAGTGAGAAATAATAATTTTCTTCTCCGTGTGATTAAACTATCATTTAAAATCTAATAACTGTTGTGTTTTTTTCAGAATTTGAAATAATCAAATATTTCTCTATTGCATTTCAGGTTGCGGCAAGTCATGATTTAACTGGAAGCCAATACAACATGGAATGGCGTTTGCAATCACCTAAAGTGGAAATCATTCAAGATTTGGAAGACATTGTTCACAAACAATTACTTAAATATAAAGAGAAAACAAATACCGTGCCAAAAAAAATATTCTACTTCAGAGATGGTGTTAGCGAGGGACAGTTTCTACAGTTGTTGGACTATGAATTGGTTGCTATCCGGCGTGCTTGTTTACGGTTAAATATAAAATATCAACCATCCATAACATTTTTGGTTGTACAAAAACGACATCACACCAGAATATTCCCCAGACATCCAAAAGACATGGACGGCAAATTTCAAAACGTTCCATCTGGTACAATTATCGACACTCAAATAACCCACCCGACAGAAGTTGATTTCTACCTATGTAGTCACGCTAGTATTCAGGTTAGTCATTAATTTTAATTATTAATCATAATTTGAAATTTTAAACTAATCCTTTAATATATTCTTAAAGGGAACATCCAGACCGACAAAATACCATCTTATTTGGGATGACAGCAATTTCACAGAAGATGAATTGGAACAACTTACTTTCCACTTATGTTTTATGTTTGCCCGTTGCACTCGCTCAGTTTCATATCCGGCACCAACGTACTATGCTCATTTGGCTGCTTTTAGAGCACGAGCCTATATCGAAAAGTAAGCTATTATATTGAATTATTATTTTATTACATAAATTTAATTGGATTTTTTTTTTTCATATAGCAAGACAATAAATCTCAATCGTTTGGATGACGAGCAAGTTAAAAATCAATTGAATGACTTATTCACTATCGAAACTCCTATGTTTTTTGTTTAACTATCATTTATACTTAATATTTATGTGTAATTACACTTATGCTTTTATATATTAAGAATTTAGTTTTTTTTTAAACATGAATATTTGTAGCTTTTAGATTATGATTAAGTGTAATAACAATTAAATCTATAATTTTATCAACATACTTTATATTGTATGATATATACATATATTGTTTTCTTTTATTTGTATGTTTGTCAAATGATTACTTAATATTCATTAATTGCTATCTCCGTTTTTTATTATATTGATAAATATTGTAGTATTAATTCAATACATTTATTAATTACACTATTCACTTTTGCTTTCGTTTATTAAAAACTTAATTTATTTTTTTTAATCTGAATATTGTTGATTTTAGATTATGATTAAGTATGATAATAATTGGATTTTTATAATATAGTATACGGAGTTGGGAAAAAAAAGCTATTAATTTATTTTAAATATTATAATATAAAAAGTAGTATTATTGGAGTAGCACTACATAAAATATAGTAAAATTGACTATATTATATATTTAAAGATAATATTTTAATTTTTTTACAAAAGTAATTATCGGAGCAAGTTATTGAAACCTTTAGTTCATAAATAAAAATAGCTACAGCATATAGTGGACAATATCTAAATATGTTTTTCTCTGAACAGTTTGAAAAAAGAAATTTGGATTTATACGATTATTATTTATTTTTAAAAATCTATTGGTATATATTATATTATTACTGGGTTATTATACAATGAGTCATATGAAATAATAGTGCATTACATCATGGATAAATACAATAATAAATTATTTGTATTAAATTCAAAAAAAAAAAAAATTCTAAATTTTAAAAGAAAATAAACGATACGTATCATGGAGTGTAAAAAACAAATGTACTTAAATAATACGTAAATATGATATGCTACAGCATTTCAAGAAATTTTCGGTATGGTTATTGATTATACAATATAATACAGATGACCCGTGCTGTGGAACCTAACCAGTAACAGCTGATGGCTGGCCGCCGCTATAAAGCGCTGTCAACCGGGGTGTTGGCCCCGTCGTAGGTAGATAAATGGGGAATACGTGGCCGTCGACCGCGGCTGAACAGTGTGACTACAGAACCAATAATAAATTATGCGTCATCATAAGCGTGTTCACGCCGTGCGGAGTTGTCAAATTATTACAACTAGTGTTAGGATTATTTTTTTTCGAAACAAAATTCGTTTCTCGGTACGATAGGAGATTACAGATAAGTATTGGTGCACGGTATCCGGACAAAATTCCGTTAAAAAAGCAAAAACAGCCACGGTAAAATCGTCCGACTTTCGATTTTCATCAGACGCTTAGTAATTTATATACCTTTTCGAGTTACGTACGCGCTCGTCGCCGTCCAAGTTCGGTTATTAATGCAAGTTATGCATAATATGAATCGAGGCTATCGGTAACCCGTTTCACGCGTGTACAAAGTTCACCGCCGTCGTCACTATTATATCTTTTTAACGGGATTTTATCCGGCTTATTTTCAATCGACGACTATAGTGAACAGAAATTTACTAACTTTGATTTTGTAATATACTTATTTATTGATTTATTAAGTAGTTTTAAAATATTATGTTTTGTAGATGATACAGATTTAGGCAATATAAAAAAAAACTATCGACTCCGACCAAAACGTACAGAAGGTCGAGAAGTAATATAACTGAGCTTTTGTTTACAAGCCCATCTATTATTACATCTCTATTACAAATTTACCACGAAACGAAAAAAAATGACTTCACAGACACGCCTAGTCCAAGTTCAAAAAGGTTGCTTTACACAAATACTCCTAGGGAAAAAAAAAATTAAAATTAAAACCGCGTTACCTACACAATTTAAGATTCGAAATACATAACGAAGTCATGTATTCCCACAAATTCACATTTAACGATTACATTGGACATGAGAAAAAAAAAAAAATCTAACTTTGACTTTATTTTATAAGTCACTAACAGCCTATAAGTTTTTAAGGCGGCTACAAAATATTTGCCAGTACCGTTGACTATTAATCGCTAGATTGGACAGTTCAAATTTTTACCCGACTTTATCGGCTCCATTCAAAAAAAATTCGAAAATAAAACATGTAATGAAAAATATTGCAGTGCAAGTTGGGGACTATCGGATTTCGGTATTGTAAAACAATTTTTATATGAAGCTGCGAATTATTTTACAAATATGAAAAAAAAAAATAAAAAAAAAAAAAAAAAGGCAAAATAACTCAACCTCCAAGTTTTTAAGGCATTATTGAGGCCATTGCTTACGAAAAAACGATTCTAAGTGGAGTTCAGTTTAAAGTGATGCTTTGTCGTTAATATATATGCCCCATATTATAGTAAAATAATTAAATGTGCTCTATAAATTTTCTTTATAGATATTTGTTTAACGTTGTACCGATTTCCCCGGTTTTCCAACGTTTTCCCTGGTTTTTCCAGTTTTTCACATTTGCAAAGAAAACTCCGGAGAAAATCGAAAAATGACCTCTCTAAAGTACCTCCCCAGTCAGTCTACAGCCCCCTTAGTCCCTCGCATTGTACGCCTATGATTGACGCTTATAAAAATAAAATATTTTAAAATATTACGCTAGCCGCAAGTCGAAATGAACGGGAAGGGAATTCGAAAAAAATAAATTTAAATATTATGAATAACATTTGACAATTTATTATGAAAAAATTAAATATTTATTTTCAATTAGTATAATTTTGGATATTGAGCCATTTTTTTGGGCATTTCGGATATATCAGGTTTATAGTTGCTGCATGCTACTCTTATCAAATCGTCTAGATGTGAAGTAATAAGCAGATTTCTGTACACATTCTTTTTTTTTCCTGTGCACAATTTTTCAACCAGCAATTTTGCTCCAACTTCTAAAGATAGCAATGTTTCTAAAAAGAAATTTCACTGGGTAGGTACTTTTAGGAGGTCATTTTTCGATTTCACTAAGAGGTTTCCAGGCAAATGTGGAAAACTGGAAAAATCGGTACAACATTAAAAAAATATTATTTAAGAAAATATATAAAGCCTTTTTAATTATTTTACTATAATATAACATATTATTTACAAAGCATCACTAAAAACTGAATTAAACTCAGAATCGTTTTTTTTTTTTTTTTTGTGAGCATTATGGTTTATCGTTGCTTACAGGTATACATTAAATTACCTATAATAGTGGCTGCACCCATTCCCGTTATTATAGGACTTCAAAGGATCGAGTTGACCTTCGAGTCTGTGTCGATAAAAGCTAACAAATAATAAAGTTATATTTATTGGGATATTGTATGGAAATTATAAGACAATACTTAGAGTACGACTCTGACGACGACACGGCAGCGTCCTCAAAGTTCCGAAGCGTATGATGTAAATTTAAACTATATTTTGACCAGTTTTTAAAATTGTTTTGCTTGTAAAGAATATAATATGTACCATTCTTTCACTAGTGTTCCGTTACATATATTAAGTATTAATTGTAACTTTATTTTATAATCGAAATTAAAAATACTCGGCGGCATTTAAATTTTTTAGTCACACAGTTATAAATATCGATTATTCTGCACGGGTATGTTATGTGAGCGTAATATTTCAATATAAGTACTCGAAGGCGCTCAAAACGAAAAATAATATAACACAGATTCGTCATAACCAGGAATACATGAATTTCAAACGGGATAATTACAATCAGCTAGGAGACATATTATATCATATAACGGGAATTTCTTTACGCAAAACACGATATCTGTCTTTTTTGATTTTGTGATTTTTTTCAGTAGTAGAGCTCAAAATAATTGTAGAGACCTACGATTTTCACACAATATTTATATTAACCCATCCTATACGTGGTTAAATTTTGAAAACATTCTAACGGTTTGTGAGCCATTTAAATCCATATAAAATGTTTAAGTTTTTTTTTTTTCATGTTGCCTACAAAATATGTTGCACGTACACTCCAAAATAATGATTTTGTACGTTTCCGTCCCAACGACCGCCACCCTAAACTGCGGTGGTGGCGACTGCGCAATGCTCTCGAGGACCCCGCCCGATTCCTCTACTCCGTGCCGTCGTTCATCCCCTCGCATTGTATAGCAAATACAGGGTATAGAGACCCTCGCCCGCACACAGATAAAACGGCGACGAGCAAGCGTCCTGCATTCGAGTGACTATTAATAAAGTCCCGGGAAAAAGGGGCTCGATCGATTTTCCGCGGTCTGCAGCTTTTCCGTATTACAGTTTATAATTCATATTATTTTAGTAATACGTTTCCAAATCGTTGGAATATTTTGCCCAACCAAATGTGAAAACCTCTCGGCATATTAAATAATTTTAATATCATACATAGGTATATTAATGTAGAAAAATCTAATACCGTTCATGTATTATGCAGATACATAATGTAGGTATTTATGATTTTTTTCATACATAACTAACGTATTTTCTCTAGCTTATCTTGTGAAGTCTACTGTCAAATAGGTACCTATATTGTGCCGTCAGTATTACAGATGTCAGATGATAGAGTATAGTAAATACGTTAAGTTATTATTTTAAACATTAAAAGTTTTCAAAATAATAGAAATTTTAAAATCGAATAAAAAAACGAAACACAAACCAAAACTATTTTCAATGGAAATTTTTAAATTCGTTATTTCTAAAATATTTCGTTAATATTACTAATAATTTAAATTTAAGTAGTCCCAAATTAAAAACATTACAAATCGTAACGCCACGCCGCGCAGTAAATATTTGCCGTTTTTCATTATCTATTATTTATTTCTTTTAAATTATTTCAAAAACTCCCTGAAAAATTAAAAATTGACCTGTCTAATGTATCAACTAGACAAAACTTACTTTCAGAAAAAATACTGTACTAATTTCTCTTCGATAAGTTGTTTACAGACAGAAAAAAAAAAGAAATACGCATAGTAAAACCAATAAATCCATCGTGATATCTGTCTTTTTTGATTTTGTGATTTTTTTCAGTAGTAGAGCTCAAAATAATTGTAGAGACCTACGATTTTCACACAATATTTATATTAACCCATCCTATACGTGGTTAAATTTTGAAAACATTCTAACGGTTTGTGAGCCATTTAAATCCATATAAAATGTTTAAGTTTTTTTATGTTGCCCAGTTACNTCTGTGCCGTCGTTCATCCCCTCGCATTGTGTAGCAAATGCGGGGTAAAGAGACCCTCGCTCGCTAGCATATATTGTATTTAATATACAGGGTGTATCACAAAAGACTGGCCAACTCTACGGACTGTGACTCTATATGTGGCTATAAGAATTGGTTTTTTGAATTTTTGTTTTCTTATGAAAACTTTGGTTTTACCCGTTTTATTTGTAAAATACCCATATAAAATAAAAATAAACCATTCCAGAGAATTTATCTCAAAATTCTCTATACGTGGTTAAATTTTGAAAACATTCTAACGGTTTGTGAGCCATTTAAATCCATATAAAATGTTTAAGTTTTTTTATGTTGCCCGGCTACAAAATATATTTCACGTACACTCCAAAATAACGATTTTGTACGTTTCCGTTCCAACGACCGCCACCCTAAACTGCGGTAGTGGCGGCTGCACAGAGCTCTCGAGGACCCCGCACGATCCCTCTATTCTGTGCGTCGTTCATCCCCTCGCATTGTGTAGCAAATGCGGGGTAAAGAGACCCTCGCTCGCTAGCATATATTGTATATAATATACAGGGTGTATCACAAAAGACTGGCCAACTCTACGGACTGTGACTCTATATGTGGCTATAAGAATTGGTTTTTTGAATTTTTGTTTTCTTATCAAAACTTTGGTTTTACCCGTTTTATTTGTAAAATACCCATACAAAATAAAAATAAACCATTCCAGAAAATTTATCGCAAAATTCTCCTACGAAATAAGTGGTCTCTTGATTTTTTCCAAAAATAATCATTATCACCAATATTTTTGGCTTATCATGTCCAAAATCGTAATTTTTGTGTGACACATGAATTTGTAAGTAAATTTGTCACGGATTTCAATGGAATAAAATATTTTTTATCTAAGCGTCAATTTAACGATCCTATCTGTAAAATACGACTCATTTGACTGTAAAAAACATTACAAAAATTGTTTTTATTGAATTGTTTTATCATTAATTATTATCAGATAAAAAGAAAAAATATTTAAAGTAAATGTTCAATATGACCTCCATGTACTTCAATACATTTTAAAAGTCGTTCATGGAATGACTTCAAACATTTTCGATGACACAAAATGGCATTATGTCAATAATACTACCAAAATAATAATCTTATAAAATTTCCATTATGATCTAGTGATGCTATCGTATCCATTATTAAATTTGTGTATGATAAAGTAGTAACTTTATCATTGTTATATTTATTGCATTGATTATGGTACGTGTGACTCCACGCTGAACACGTATCAGTTAGTGTAGTACGTCGATAAGTTACTGGCGAGTTTAATTTTTTTTTTTTCCAAATTTTGTATTTAATATTAATTAATGCTATAATTATTAATTAATAATAGTTTACACATTTTTTGAATACGCTGATATGGTTTTTATTTTAGGTAAGGTTTTTCTTGTAATAAAAAATGTTATATTATTCTGAATACGTACATCTAATTATGAAGTGCTGCTAATGGTATTGGTGCTCAGGCAGTTCGATTATGAACTGATCGGTTTCCAAACCATCTTAATCGAAAAACCTTCACCGATGTTTTTCGTAGATTAAGAGAAACACGTATGTTGTTTTTTTTAATTATCCAAATAATAATAAAGTTTTAATATTTAATTTACAGTCAAATGGGTCGTATTTTACGGATAGGATCGTTAAATTGACGCTTAGATAAAAAATATTTTATTCTATTGAAGTCCGTGACAAATTTACTTACAAATTCATGTGTCACACAAAAATTACGATTTTGGACATGATAAGCCAAACATATCGGTGATAATGATTATTTTTGGAAAAAATCGAGTGACCCCTTAATTCGTTGGTGATTTTGCGGTAAATTCTCTGGAATAGTTTATTTTTATTTTGTATGGGTATTTTACAAATAAAACGGGTAAAACCAAAGTTTTGATAAGAAAACAAAAATTCAAAAAAACCAATTCTTATAGCCACATATAGAGTCACAGTCCGTAGAGTTGGCCAGTCTTTTCTGATACACCCTTGTATATATATATATACAAAATACAATGTTAATATATTATAAACATAATATATACTTTGACAAACCTTCATAAAATATTTTTTTTCAAACAGAAACCAATTCGGAATTCGGTTACACCCAACTGACGAACACCAAAACGATGTACGAGTTTTTGAGGGAAGTAAATAAACGACGCGAAAATGATAACCACCGTGCAGGACGTACGCTCGGCGCCGTTTTCTTTGTGTAAACAAGAGGGTCGCTCGCTGTAACCATCTGCTCACAATGCGAGGGGACGAACGACCGTGTGGAGTAGAGGGAACGCGGGGTTCTCGTAACGATCGGAATTAAGGGTGGCGGTCGTTTTAGAGGGGACATATAATATTATTTTGTAGTGTACGTACGATATATTTTGTAGCATGAAAAAAAAAAACTTTAACATTTTAAATGGATTTTAATAGCTCACAAACCGTTAGAATGTTTTCAAAATTTCACCACGTATAGGATAGGTTAATATAGGTATTATGTGAAAATTGTAGGTCTCTAAGATCATATTTTAGCTTTATTACCTGCAACATAATATAAAATTATTTCGGAAAACAGTTGCCGACACTGGTGATTGTATTGATTATTATTTTGTTGTCCCCCAATTCAGGACACACGCTCGGCGCCGTTTTCTTTGTGTAAACAAGAGGGTCGCTCGCTGTAACCATCTGCTCACAATGCGAGGGGACGAACNAATGTTTTCAAAATTTCACCACGTATAGGATAGGTTAATATAGGTATTATGTGAAAATTGTAGGTCTCTAAGATTATATTTTAGCTTTATTACCTACAACAAAATCGAACAAAATTCCGAAAAACAGTAGCCGACACTAGTGATTGTATTGATTATTATTTTGTTGTCCCCCAATTCAAGACGCATGCTCGGTGCCGTTTTTTTTGTGTGCGGGAGGTGGTTGCTATACAATGTGAGAGAGAAGCGTCGAGTACGCGTTGCTATGTAGAGGGGTCGCGGGGTTCTCGCGAGAAATGTGGCATGCGCAGCGGATGTAAATATTTTATTACGCCTTAAAAAAATATATATAAGAGCTATTCGAAGAAAAAAAAAATCAAAAACACAAACATCATTGTAAAATCAAAAGTTTCTTCGTTACACTCAGAATCTAAAATAAAGATGAAAAATAATACCCTTGTATGTTATTCTTTATTCTATTCTAGTAAGATGTATAACAGTAGAAATGATTTCGGCGCTAATTTAAAATCATCATAAAAGAACTAAGTATGGGCAATAGGCATCTATTAGTAATTTTTTATTTTTCGTTATCTGTATCAAAAACTAAAATTCTTCTGCGCCAATGTCTTTGTTGAGTAGTAAGAAATTTTAATTTCCAAACAAATCCCATTCACCTTCATCAATACAAATTAAATATACAATATATTAAACATTTCATTAAATATGTACGTAATACGTATTGTATATTTATCTATTAAAAAATCATTTAAATTATAATTTTGTTGCCGTTTGGTTTTAGATTCGGAGCGTGGCGGTGTATTGGTTTTACTATGTGTAATTATTTTTTTTTTCTGTCTGTAAACAACTTTTCGAAGAGAAATTAGTACAGTATTTTTTCTGAAAGTAAGTTTTGTCTAGTTGGTACATTAGACAGGTCACATTTTAATTTTCCAGGGAGTTTTCGAAATAATTTAGAAAAACCCAATAGATAATGAAAAACGGTAAATATTTATTGGCGTTATAATTTGTAATGTTTTTAATTTGGTAAAACGATGTTTTCTACCAGAAATATTGCTCCAGTTGAAAAATGATAAAAAAATAATAATCTTTAATGTAGATGGTGACTAAGAAAGTCGTTTTTTGTATTTCTTTGTAATTTTTTTAATATTAAGCAAAATCGAAAAACACATAGAAATTACGGGAAAATTTAAGAAAATAATTCTTTGATTACTTTAACATAATTGATTATTTTTAATATTAGATTTTCGTGTAGTTTTATTAACTAGTGAATAACGAAAACCGAAAGGTGTTTAAAAGCTTATTGAAAGAGCACTATAGTTTTGGTGTTATTGACGCATGTTGCAAGGTCATAAATTCAAATTTTTTTTTATATTAAGTATATTTTGTACGTCATAAATGATGTTACTAATTGTAAGTATAAATGAGTATAATTTCTGTTAATTTGTTGTTACTAAATCTAAAATCTAGTCTTACTATTTTTCTTATACAGTAAATTCTCGTTATGTCGAATCACAAGGGGAATAGAAAAAAGTTCGAGATATCGAGTTTTATTAAAAAATAAAAAAAACACATTACATAAATTAATGTAAATATAAGTATATGAATAATAAATAATACGAATGCCTAAAATACATAATTTGAATACTTAAAATACTGAAATAATTGAAATGACTGAATAAATTATATTTTTTTAAGAAAATCTGTCATTAAAGTAATAATGTATTTGGTGGAATATTGAATTCATTGGCGATTTCACATTTTTTGGGTCACATTTTTCAACTAACTGTATTAAACGAACTTTGTCCGAAATTAAAAGAACATTTAATTTATGATTCTTTTCCATTTCACTACAAAACGAACAAAGGAACTACGAAAGATTACAAACGTGACTACTAACGCATTAAATCACAATCGCTATACTGAACGTACTGCACAATTCCTGTTTTAACAGTAATAAAAATATTATTTGCGAACTCGAGATAACGAGATAACGAAAAACAATTAATTTTATATCGAGTTATCGAGAGCAAAACACTATTAAGTGTAATAGTAGTTTCAAGGAGAATTCAATGATTTCGAGATAACGAAAAATTCAAGATAGCGAAGTTCGACATATTAAGAATATACTGTATTATTATTTTATTTTATTGTTTTTTGATATGATGTTTCTTTTGAAATGGATCAATTTAAAATAAAAAAATCGTATAATTGAATAAAGTGAAAATAATAAAATAAAAATAAAATGTGCACCTAAATATGTATAATACAAAAATATGCCGTCTGGGTAAATGCGTGGTAACGTTATACGTGTATTTTTGTGTGTTTCGCCGCGTGTTTGGTTTTTGGAATTCGTAGCGATAGATTTATTAGTTTTACAATGTGTGGTTCTTTTTTTTTCTGTCTGTAAACAACGTTTTGAAGAAAAATTATCACAGTAATTTTTCTGAAGTAAGTTTTGTCTAGTTGGTACATTATAGAGGCCAATTTTTAATTTTCCAGGGAGTTTTCGAAATAATTAAGAAAAACCTAATAGATAATCAAAACCGGCAAATATCTACTGCACGCCGTGAAGTTACGATTTTTAATGTTTTTAATTTGGTAAAACGATGTTTTCTACCAGAAATATAGCTCCAATCGAAAAATGATAAAAAATAATTATCTTTAATATAGATGGGGACCAAAAAAGTCGTTTTTTGTTTTTCTTTGTAAATTTTAAAATAATTAAGCATAATCGAAAAATACATAAAAACACAGGAAAATTTAAGAAAATAATTCTTTGATTATTTTTAATATAATTGTGTCTTAATAGGAGACCAATTCGAAATACCACTGGGTACGAATTTCTGTATTGTCAACTCCAAATATTTATTTTAGTGGCCAGGAGACAGGAAACCCAACCGATGCTCCTGTAGTTGCTGTCGAATTATCGTCAGGGGTTCGACTAGCTAATCTTAACCCTTTAAGACTAGGCAACCTTTCATGTTCATTCGGCCTGCGTGTTTAGTTGCCGCTGTGTTCACGTATAGGCGCGAGAAATCTCCCAATTTGTTCCTNTATTTATTTTAGTGGCCAGGAGACAGGAAACCCAACCGATGCTCATGTAGTTGCTGTCGAATTATCGTCAGGGGTTCGACTAGCTTATCTTAACCCCTTAAGACTAGGCAACCTTTCATGTTCATTCGGCCTGCGTGTTTAGTTGCCGCTATGTTCACGTAAAGGCGCGAGAGATCTCCCAATTTGTTCCTATCCCTCCTTAACTAATAAAGACTTATATTTGTAATTTTTTAATTATTTAGCAAAATCGACAAATACATAGAAATCACGGGAAAATGTAAGAAAATAATTCTTTGATTTTTTTATTATGATTGAGTTAAAATCTTTTTATGGTTTAAGAATTGACAGTTAACTCAAATTTGCTTTTTCAGATTTGGTAAAACATTTGAGCTATGTATAGACATTTTAATTTTACGAATATTGTATGTAATTTTTACTTTTTAAATAACAATATAGTTTAATATTTAAATAAAAAGTTTTCCAAATAATCATGTTTTCCGATGATTTTTACTATTTTAGATTTTGAACATCGTTTTATTGAATTTTCACGTAATAGTTCAGTTTCTTTTTCAGCAAATTTATGACGGATACAATAAACAATTTTACCTGGTAATTTTATTTGTCCCCTCATGTGATATTTTATTTTTCCAGTGATTACCTAATTTTCATTCGATAAATGATTATGTTAACATTTTAATTTGGGACTACTTACATTTAAATTGGTAGTAAAACTAGCGAAATATTTTAGGAAAGAAGAATTTAAATATTTCCACTAAAAATAATTTTGGTTTGTGTTTCGTTTTTTTATTCGTTTTTAAAATTTCC